TCATATCGTGCCACGTAGAGTAATGCTCTAGTTGAACAAACCACAACTCAAGGCTGCTACTATAAGACTGTAGGAGTTTGTGGAGAAAGAATTTTAAATAGCCGTCCTATCGTCCCTGTGACATTAAATGAAAATTATGACTTGACGCTCAAACCAAACACCCGACTACTACTAAGAGACCGTGGTGGTTTAATGACTGAGCGCAGTATTACAGATAAGTATTCGAAGCGATAGAGACAAGTTAATTGTCTATCCAATGCTTTTTGGCGTCGGTGGATAAAGAAGTACATTCCGTTACTGAAAGTGAGGTAAAAGTGGTCTTGCAAACACAGAAACTTAGAGGAAGGTGATGTTGTGCTTGTGGCTAGCGATACAACTACTTGTGGCTCATTGCTAATGGGATGGGTTGGTGGGTGCGAGATCGATGGAGATGGCCTGGTAAGAACTATGATGGTACGTATGGAAGAAGATGTAGTAAGTAGAGAAGTGCGGAAGCTTGACCTTCTAGGGGTTGCCGAATAACTGTGGTTTGTTTGTTAGGTTTATAGATGTACAGGCATACTGCTGTAAGTCCTGTGCCTCCCACTGACATAGATTGGTCAGCTAATGGAGCCATGACTGAATGTATTGAATAGTGTCTTAAAGCAGCTGGAGAAATTATGCGGGCCGGTTTAACGGAAAGAAAATGCTGAAAGTCCCTCCACAACATTTCGTCATGCAGTACTGTCATTTATTTGTTTGTTCTCTTTGTTGCGTATTTTACCATTTATTCAAACCTCTTTTAACCACACTTTGTGTCCTTCAGTCTTCCTTATCTGAGCTTTTTTTATGTGATTTTATATAAAGACCTACTGTTCGTTACTTAGGTTTTCTGTTGCGTGTGGCCGGATTATTGAAAATAAATTTGTGTTTGACTTAGCTCAAGATCACGGCGTGGTTCAGTGTGTGACTGTTTACCCTTGACTCTGCATGTGAGGATTGCTGGAATCCATTCAGAAAGATATTTGACCACATTTTGTTGGCGATACCTTTTTTGTTCATTTTAAGGTATTAAACTCTTGTGCATTAACTATTTGCCTTGTCGTTTAGCACTCTAATTTATGTTAGAGAAACTCTTGACTGTATAGCACAGGCTGTACTGTTTGAGGCATTTTGTATTTTTTTATATAATTTGTTCTCGTTCTTAAATTATAACCGTTCAAAATGGGCGAAGAGTTTATGTCTCCATATAATTTAATACAAGTAACTCGGAAACACTTTGTACACTATACAAAAGAACATAGACTGGTCTAGTCGAACAAATTTGGGTTTGTTAGTTCCGTGTTCAAACTGAATATTGGCATTTTGCTAGTTACAAGAGCAGTTAGAGCGTGAGATTCAAACTCTAATCCGTGATGATTCATTATTCGCTAAACATCTGATACTAAAAATTGTAGTGCTCTGTGGTTTGTGATCAGATGTTTACAAGAGTGTATGTACACCGAAAACTTTTATATCAAATTTCATTAGATTTAGTGATGCTACCGACTGTTACGAAAATGCTAAAATTAATTCCAGCTGAAGTGTGTTATATTCCGAAAAATACGAAAGTATTACTGTAAGACGGGCCTGTAACTGATCTGATTACCTGGAGGTATGACTTTTGAAGTGTGATGTTTTTCAGGATTACTAATGCTCTAGTTAAGTTATGTTTTTCTTTCACGAGTATATCTTCTGAGTTACATATTGTATCATGTTTACATAATTTTCTCTACTATGTTAATCGACTTATTTAATTGCTTTGTGTTGTTATAGGTAACCCCGGCTAAAGGTCAACTGACCACTTCACTTATTTCGTCAGTAGAAAGAATAACCGAGGCCGTTTTATTATTTTGTACCATATCTAGTCATTTAACGGGTCAGGGAGATAGTAAAATTTGTCGTGGTAAAAGTTTTCTTCATTTACTGGCCATGGTTATTCATCAAGGTGGAGGTAAGCACAAGTAGACAACAAGAAGATGGGTTCTTTACGAGCTAGTTTTAGCAAGTTTCTTGTCAAGCCGAATAAGTGCAAAATGGTCCTCCAAAAACGTTTGGATGATCTTAAGTCACACCCATTTTCACTGAACCTTAGCTTCGCACTCTTTGTTAGAGAGCTTCTGATTTACCATATCCAACAAAACTAAAACCGTGAGCACTTATACCGTTAATCCAGTGAGACAGCCAGAAATAATCAAATGTAAAGTTCACGTGATTAGACAAGGGACCACTTTCTTTTCGGAGTGAAAAGATGCAAGCTTCAGATCGGTGTAGTTTCTTGAGAAGTCCAATATTATAAAAACACAAATGAAAGTGACGCAGAAGTGTTCTTAACCAGAAAAGTCCTAATTACTCCTCATATTTTGTCTAAATTATTAGGGCTCGTAAATAAAATTACAATGCAGCGATACCGGTCTACGGACGCAGTGGAAAACAACAATTGCACTGTTATATATGTATATTCGCTTTCCAGAATTACTTGCCTCTACAGCGTGCCGTAAGTGCGGCAAGAGAGTTATTCGTTATATTCGTCATGTTTTAATCGATTATTGAGGACGGATAAGTTGAATAAGAAATGCAGTGTGAATCCTTTTGAATGTATATTATAGTAGTTGAATTCACTAGCATATACAGTAGTAAAAAACAAAGTACAATTGGACTAAGTGAGCACAGCTGAAATGATAGTAGTAGTGGAATAACACCAGATTTAGACCTCTTTATATTTGATTTGAATTTACATGGATATTGCCGCTAAGAGCCACCAGCAATTGCATTAGAATAGAAACAACACTGGCAGTAGAATAACCAGCAATTAAATTGTAGTGAAATAAATCCACGATTACATGAGACTTGTCTAGTCTGCGTTTCATCGGAATGAGTTCAAACTGTCCTGAGAGTCAATTATCCAGTGCGTTTCACGTATTTATATTTCAAAATAGTGGTGGAATATGATCAACAGAAAGGTAGGTAAATAGGCAACCAAACACTAGAGTACTGTAAAGATTCATATATTTGGCACTTGAAGTAGTTAAACGACTGAGTAGAAGATAACCAATAGCATTAAAATGAAGCATTTGACGGTCACATGCTCAGTCAGATAACGTGTTCTAAAATGAGCATAGAGTTATGTGAGTTCGACATGTCTGAATTAAATCCTACACTGTTTTAGATTGTACAGTCATATGATCATAAGTTTTCATTATAAGTTTTGATTGAAGTAGGAGTGACATCTGATTACGACTATAGATATAATTAATCCAGTAATTAAGCACTAGTGCAAAAGCAGTCGGGAATAACTTCGAGTCAATACGTAAAATTAACAGTAAATTGGTTTACGAATGCTGAGAAGCGAAAATTCGGAAATGGTAGTAATCACTTTAGTCAGGGCCATGTATTACGTAAAACGATCACCTCACTAAAACAGTCTTTTTGTATTCCATTGTTTTCGACTGACAGTTTCACTTCAAATGTGTCTGACTAATAATTCAATACATAATCGTCCCTTGAATTACAGAGCAGACCGTTGTTATACCTTCCGATGAATCCGAAAGCATTTACATTGATAAATAGACTAAAGGCCCTTATAAGGCTCATGAGTACTATAATCCCCCAGCAAACATAATTAACTGTCCAAAACAAGTATGATTTATGCACGTTGAGAAAACACTAGCAAGTGAGCGTATCTTGATGGCTTTTCTGTGCTACAAATTGATTGATAAGGACGCTTCTACGAATAGACGTTTATTGGAGACGGCGAATACACACAGTTATAATTAACATAAGATCAACAGAGTTATGAGAATACTAGAATTATCCAGGAAATCATAACAATACGAGGGAGAATTATCAAATACTGATCAACAACAACCAACTACAACTGAATAATATTCGGAAAAGTTACAGTGCAGTAGTTAGGTGACTAAAAATCATCAATAATTACTGTCTCCAGAGAATTTTCTCTTATTTGCTGTTGTAATTCTTCAAGCTCTTCATTAGATTGATAACAACAAACTACAATTGAATTATGGCTACTCGTCAAGCAAAAATGAGTACATCAGAACTCCAAGAGCTATCAGTAGCATCAATGCTAGACAGACTCTAACGATGTTCTTGTATAAGAATTTATTCGGAGTGACCCCTTTAAGGAATAAATGTCATGTACTTGGAACTTTTGAAGACATCATCAGATTCATTATCATTTATACGAGTGAAAGCCGAAAAATCACCTTTGAGAAGAAAAGAGAACATGAAAAGTGTTTCTGCATATCACTTTCTAGAATGTGATGTGATATAATCCGGGTAATCCATATTATGATCGATGAGCTCGCTGTTGCTCTATTTTAAAATTCTGGACCCATAAAACTAATTATCTTCAGGACTATCATGAAACGATCTCAAAACCAAGACGACATAGATTCAAAGATGTCCGTAAAAATTTAATAACCGAAGGATACCAAGCCAGTCAAATCATAAGTCAAGAATGGAGTTCAAATTTATACTTTGAAAGTTGCCGATATGTTGTGAAACGTTTGTTCCAAATTGGCTAGTAATTGCAGAGAATGTGTAGCACAACATATCCAATCGTAAACTGGTTTGTATGCGTAACCGAGCGCCTTCAGCTAGGTTGTGCCAGTAAAAACCGGGATCACTACCGAAGACCTTGGGATTTATTCTCCACTAAAGACGCGTTTCAATGCGATGTAAGCTACTATTCAAGACATTCAATACAAATTGTACCATGGAACCCTTTGATAAAAGAATGGACTTTCATACAAACAGTTAACGCGGAGATTGACACATTGTAACTTGTCGTTTCATCCTTACTTTAAGTTACACCTAAGAGAACATCTATCTTGGATAAGATAGGAAAGAAACAAGTGGTAACTTTGATCTCCCTAAACCAAAACAGGAATTCACACCTTATCATATCAAGGCAACTCAATAAGGTGGACTGTATGAACAGATGATATCGTCGAGTCGCTAAAGTCTGTTATGTGGAACGATGTATATTGTACAGCTGTCTTAATTTGTTTTATCCTGTCAACGTCTCGAGTACATGTTGACTGTGCGTATTTCAATAATAATTTATACAAACACAAGAGATGTCGGAGGTTAGTTGGTATTTAGCACTATTACCTTCCAAGCCAATAAGAGTTTTGTTGACAGGTGCAGCTGGGCAAATAGGATATTCACTCGCCGGGATGGTTGCTCGTGGTGATATGTTCGGACCTGATCAAGTTAGAGATGTTCTTTTCTAACAACTGCAGGAAGTTATCTTACATCTGTTCGATCTTGAACAAATGGTGGAATCTCTTAAAGGACTTGAAATGGAACTTCAGGATTGTGGATTTCGACTGTTAAGGGGTGTGGTTGTGACGCATTTACCAGAAGTGGCATTCAATCAAATTGATGCTGCTCTTATGGTTGGGGCTATGCCTAGGAGAGAAGGAATGGAGCGTAAAGATTTGCTAAATGCTAACGTGAAAATTTTCAAGGAGCAAGGACAGGCTCTGGACAAGTATGCCAAAAAGACTGTCAAAGTGGTTGTTGTGGGTAATCCTGCTAACACAAATGCACTCGCACTGATGAAGAACGCTCCTTCTATTCCTAAAGAAAACTTTAGTGCGCTCACAAGACTTGACCACAATCGTGCTCAGTCATTTGTTAGTCCAGGTTCCTCTTAATCTTTCTCATAGATAGCCAAACGTTTGGGAGTTTCATGCGATTCTGTAAAAAATTGTATTATATGGGGCAACCACAGCAATACGCAGTTTGTCGATGTGAGTCATGCTGTTGTAAAGCAAGATGGGAAGGAGATTCCTGTCGCTACCGCAATTAATGATGATAACTGGATAAAGAATGAGTTCTTAAGCGCTATCCAGAAGCGTGGGGCTGCTGTCATAGCAGCCAGGAAACTAAGTAGTGCACTGTCTGCTGCTAAGTCTGTTTCAGACCATATGCACGACTGGTGGCTTGGAACAAAGGAGGTATGTTTCCAATTAATTTTATTTCGTTTTAAGGGCGAGTGGGTATCGATGTCTGTAATCAGTGATGGTTCTTATGATGCTCCAAAAGATGTGATATTTAGTTTTCCTGTCCAAATCAAGAATGGTAAATGGACCATCGTCCAGGGTTTAAAACTTGATGAGTGGGCTAAAGGCAAGTTCGCCATAACAGCAGAAGAGCTCAAGGAGGAACGCATCGCGGCAGGGCTTGATTAATGACTTCCTAACTGTTGTTACTGTCAGTATTCTGACAACTATAGTAGCTACTTTTTGTAGTTCTTTTTATTGATCTTACATTTGCTAAAATTATGATAATTTTTGCATTTCACTAGTCGTTTTTAAAAATAGTTCGTAGTTAGATTACTACCAAGCTCTTTGTAGAATCATTGCTTCAACTTATTCGGGTGTACCGTGAACTTAAAATGACTAATCTTAGTATTTATACTTCCAATCATTCCATATACAGATATATATCTCTAGGAGGAAGAATACGGTTTTGTATTCGCTGCTAATACGACTTATTGGTTCATAAATGAGCTAAACGAACACGAAACTATGCTATTCTGATTTCTTCCCTTAATAGAATAGGCGAGTTTCAAAGGAGGGGAGTGATTTTCATACTGTGAATTATTCTTGCTGTGTTTATTACAACAAAACTACAGTTGGCAATCTCTAACGGGAATTGTTTTGCCTCAAGTCCAGATCTTCATACGTTTAGATGGCTTGGCTATGATTTTTGTTCTTGAGATCTGTTTGGGTTCTGGGTTTATTTCTGTCGTTTTTTCCAATGGTCTACACGTTGAATCCGCTACTTTTTTCTTTCCAAGTTTAATCGACCGTACCCATTGATGCAGTCAACCTAACTACTTCTCTGTGTAATAGTTGTGGTGTGTAAAGATGCAACCGTTTAACATTTGCTGCTTACAAACGATGTTCAAAAGCAGGTTGTTAGTGGTTACGTATTCTCTGTTGCTAGCATTTGTCAGTATTGTTTGGTGGTTAATAATACTCCTTGGGTCCTCAAACTGAAGCAGATCGTACAATGGTCAAATATTTGGTTGTCATCGGAATTTGTCTGACTTCAAACAGAGTACATTTGATTATCCAGTTATTCAATTTAATAGCCACATCAAAAGACTGAATAATGAAATCCAGTCAGCATTATGGACTAGGCAACACCATAAATTTTACCCTAGTTACTCGTTAGTGTATTGCAGTCAACTGTCCGAAAATTATGAACATGCGGATTTTATTGCCGCGTATGATCTATCACGTAATTCACCACCCACGTTATACGTAGTACTGTCAACAAATCAGCCCTAGTTAGCACATGCCTCTACAGTTTTTATTTAGCCCAGATTGACGAGAGCAGCTATAAAAATGTTTCAGGAAACACTAGCAAATGTAATCCTATAGTTTCAGTGAAAACGAAACCTGAAATGTCAAGAACTTGAGTGAATTTGATACAGACGTAAAGCCTCGGAGTGTACTTGCTTATTTGACAGTTAGTGGTGTTTCGGTATTGTGGTCAGTGAATTGCATTCTAGATGTCGCCGTCAAACTGTAGAGTTTTCCAGATAAACATACCGTAAGCGTTAAATTCCAGGGGATTTAGTGACCGAGATAAACGTATTAAATAATGCTGTAAGTAATTTTGGGAATATTATGTGGTCGAACCCAATCACTAGAGAGCTATGGACATAAGCTTAATGGGTTGGGACATGGGATACAAAAAATAGTTATTTGGGGAATACTGGAGAAACGCAAACGCTTGTGGTCGCCGTAAACCACACTTCAGTCATGTCTGAGATGGTCTACGTCATCGTTTAGATTAATACTAGAGAGTAAACTGGTTGTGTTTGTTCATCACTTCACTTTCTACGCCTCGTTGGTCCCTTTGGGTCGGTTTCCAACAATATTTGACACGGATTCAAGATTCTTATTTTATGCATACGGTTTATTTTGAAATGTTTTAACTGTAGGGAATATTCTTAAAATTGGTTGTGTTTTAGGGTTTACCATTATACTACGAAAATACAAGCACAACTCTTTGATTACCTTATTGTTATGATTTTATTTCTAACTAAATATTTTACCAAAAACGAACAAATGGATAAAGGTCTCGTAAACGTTTGAACAAAGAGAGTTGTGTAGTAAGAAAAAGAATTACAATAATCTTTACTCAAGAGATGAATGAGATGAAAGTATTTTGATTAGGACTAAATAATTTCATTAGAGTTCTTTGAATGTCTTCAACGAATTCATATCTGATTATACGGTAAGAAGAAATAAAAGCAAATAAATATGGTACTAAAGGAACTAATCCACAAGATTTAGATAATATTAACCAATTGCACGATCAGAATGCTGAGTAGTCAAATGTACTGTTTTGATATTGTGTAGGTGATACTCAACACTACGCCAGCATTAACTCTAGTGGTCGCTACACTCTGGAACTAATCGTGCAATGATGTGTCAAAATAACTCAACCACTCAGAAAGGGATATAATTAGGAAAATTGGGACTTTCTACTGCTCTTATATTTTACAGATATATGGTTGGTGCGTTTATCATTTTTGGCGGAGACATACATTTCTTGTTATATATAATCAGTTTAAGATTGCTTACCCAGAAAATGAATTCACTTGTGAAATAGAAAATAATGAATACTTTTTATTCTTAAGTATTTTAGTATTAAAAAAACTAGATTATCATAGTCAAGCTTTGTATGTGAAGTTCGCAGTTATCTTTCAGCTGACAAAAAAATTTCAAATAAATTTTCTGCAGCCAATACAAAAGATGTTCGATATTTTGGGCTAGCAGTAAATAAAACGGTGTTATTCTAGACGAATATAAAACATTATATAGTGGGGGAGTATGTGGACGTTCCTTCAGCTAAAGTTGTTTCATGGAAAATTACAAGTACATGTAAGCATATTACCGACCCTAACTCAGTTATTGATGTATGTATCACGAACTAGATCTTACAGACACCATTCTATTTGTCGGGCACTAAGATATCTCGATGTATATCAAAGATAACGATTGTTCTTGTACTCCTAAAAAATTAGGAAAACTATTGCTGTCTGTTTACAAGATCAACCTTTTGGAAAAAGATAAACTGCTAAACGTGTGACTTATTACACCAATGAATAGTCAAGAAAGTTTAGTGTATAGATTTATGGTATCGAAGTGACGAAATGTGTATGCATTTGAAGAAGAAATATGTCTCAGAGACCGTGTTGGTATTCGATGCATTCCATTAGACAACAGTAAAAAGACTTGAGTAAACCGTTTGTTTAGATGAAATTGCGAAATAGTAGACGCTATTGATGCAGTCGAAGTACTCTGTAATTGGAACCGGGGTCATACTAGGGATGCTTTTCTTTAAAAAATCACCAGAGTGTTCTGTCGTTGAAAGCCTTTTCGTCTAATGTTATTCCACCAATCAAAAGATACCATCAACAGCTCACCTTACGCATTTACAGATCCCATACGGACAATATTTATTTGAAATCAGCATTCGCTATTAGTATAGGATTTTTACCATTTAAGAAACTGAACAGTTTAACGGAGAAATTCAGTGGGTAAATATTAAAGCAGATGTACTTACAGAACTTTCGTCAATGGTGTATCAATCTCAAATAATTTCAACATGTATATATATCTGAGCTGCTTAGTAGTGCCCGAGGATTTATCCCCATATTTTGATTAAAGGTACATAAAACAAGTATTGTTCGACAACCTGAGTATTCTACATATCTAAAAACAGCGATCATCTACTACCAGGATAGTAAAGCTGATCATCAAGACACAATAAGTAGAGAATTTAGCATTTTGATGCTTACTGTCTCGACGGATTAGTACGTCACTATCCATCCCAAAGAACACAACAACAACAAAGGCAATGTATAAACTTAGCAATATCTGAATCGGGACATGCTTTCTGTTTGAACAAGACGTTAATTATCTGATACCCTCGAATACGCTTTTTTTTTTTACAAATGTTCATTTCATTACTGAAATTGCTAACCATTTGTAAATTTTAGAACATTTCAATATTCCGATACAAAATAGTCCACCACTGTTTAATTATTTCATATAGGTATATCATCTCAAATTTATTCAAACAAGTTATTTAATTTGTCTGTTAACATTTAACATATTTCCAGGGGATTATAAAACATAAATAGCAACCTTCATTATTTGAATAAAAATCTTCTTGTGTTTGAAGAAAAACTGTACTGAATCATTCAATAATGATTAGTAAATGTTCAAATGTATTCACAAATACAATTTTAAACTTACTTAATTTTCTTCGTTTCTTAGAGAGCAATATAATATAAGTTTAAAATTTTAACTAATATAAAATGTGGGAAAGAAAATGTGCATATATTAATGATTTGAAGATGCCGCGTAATCACGGACTTTTCAATGGATATGCTGAATTCTCACATATATATATATATATATATATGCATGCTTAGTTTACTTGCACTTCTGTCTTTGAACTAAAACTTACATTTGAAAATATCACATGGTTCCTGGAATTTTCAGTATTGACCCTGGACAATAACCTTCTTCATCAAACTTATTTTGAATTTTATACCACTTCCCATTCTTTTCTAGAATCTTTACCCATTCACCATTTTCTACTGTTAATTCTCTTTCAGACGTTGCTTCAAATGACTCAATAACTTGAACAAGTCTATAGAATAAGTATATTGATAATATAAATACTGATTGGTTAACAAATTAAAGTTCTTGAATGTAGAATTAAATCATTCTTTATCGAAAGCCTAAATTCAGTCTAATTTTTTACGTTTAACACGAATAACCTTTATTAACATTTGGAAATGTATCAAAAATTAAATCCTTCCCTCAAAATGTATTACAAATTATATGTATTATTTATCTCGGTGTTTTGACTCTTATATTATGAGATCAGCAAGCGGAATATTTCGACAGCTAGTGTTGAAGTCACAGGTTTTTTAGAAGGATTATTATTGATCACCAATCTCTATCGTCAGATGCTAAACACTTGTGTTCGTTTTCTTTTCAGAGCTAACTCTTTACGGATAAGTTTCATGTATTTATTCTAAGTTGTCACTCTGAACAACATATTTTGTTGGCTGATCCAAGATGCATTCTTTTTGTTACCATATCATGTAACATCACTTTCAAATTCTAGTTAGTTAGATCAGAAGCAAAACACTGTCTGTATTCACATGCATAGATACATTTGAATTAGCAATGAGAATTCAAATAAGATAAACAATAAAGTTTTGATTAAATAAAGGGTGATGGGAAAGTTATAGTATGTTTGTAAAGGTTGTACGTTGAATAATTAAAGTGAAAGTTTGAACATTTATTTTGGAAAAATGGGTGCAAGTATAGCTGCTAATTCATCACTGTGGCAGTTGCATGTGAATCGTCGTTTCTGTGTATGCTTAGATTTTCTGGCTCGCCTAGCATTGCCATGGTAATAGATTCATTAATATGCTTTATTCCATTTTTCCTTTTCTACTTCCCAAAAAGTTTTGAAATTTATGTTTTGTCTACTAGACCTGTAACCTTAACACAAACGTTCTTTATCTCTCATATCAGCTTTTGTCTAATCAAGATAACGCTTTTATTAGCCAAGTTTCCATTTCTGTTCATTAATTATTAATATAGCTAGGCTAATTATTGTAGGACTTCGGAAAGACTTTAGACCTCTAAACGATTTAGTCCTTCGATCAGTTACTTTTTCTCATGCCATCATCAAACATTATTGTTCTAAATATAGAATAAGTGGAGTGTGGCTAGCAGTGAAATCGAGGACTGGCGCCTCATCATACCTGGGAGTCGCCAGCTGAATGTACCTGGATTCCAGAGTAGATGCTCGCCCCGAGACTTGAACTCAATATCGTCCGCCTCAAGCTGCATCTTATTATTCAATTAACCACCGAGTACAGGTAGCTACTCATTTTTGCAACAGGTGCGAGTTTTATTTCAATTTGAAATGGATTGGATTATCCCGTTAATATTTTTAACTGAAAGTTGATCAGCCTTGGTTGTTATATGGGTATCCTGTGTGGATTGTCTCGATATAACCACTGAAACAAGTTAGTATAGAATAGATGTAAAAAGCTATATCGCGGGAATCCCAATAGAATGCAGATATACCAACCAAGACTGACCAACTTTAATAAAAGTAATTATTATTTAGACTGACTAACCAGTGATCACTACAAATAACGAAGCTATTTATTCATAATAACAACTATGTTCAGTTCCAGATACTAACCTGTTCCTAAGGCCAGGGACTGATAATGAGTACAAAGTTTTTCTTTTTATTAAAAGGGAAACGTTAACTGGTACTCTTGGAGTATCAATATTATCTCTCTGTTTTAATTGTATTTATATAAATCTTACCACTCTGTACTGCTTATTACTATCTAACGCTTTGAAAAATTAAATTTCTGTCTTTTACAAGCTCTTTTCTAGAGTGTTTTGTTCTCATAGCTTTGTACAAGGTTTTGTTATGGAGCGTATTGGGCTTGAATTATTCTACTGGTGACGGGAATGTCCTTAGGATCTACCCAAACTTATTTTACAGATCCTTTAAACTTTGAACCAAAGTCTCTCTATCAGACCAGAAAGCACTTTTGGAGTTTAGCTTTATAATGATTGCTTAAGTAGTCAATTATTTGTTACCAAAGATATGAGTCAGTCAGTCACAACGTAGAACATGTAATTAGGTACATCGGTCCAAGTTGTCATGCCCCGTAAGCACATGGAGATGAAGTTGTCGGGCCAAATTCCAGCATAGCACAGGTAGTAACAATATCAGTGGGAATTGGAAAGACTAGACATCAAAGATACTTTTCGAAAAGAAAATACAATTTAGTAAAGTAAAAAACAAAAAGAGAATATAAGGAATTAGGAACCTCAGAATTTGGGGAGAAGACAAAGAATGGATATAACTTTTCCATTGCAAACGATTTTGAGCCATGCCATTCAAAGTCTAACCATTGGTTACGATAATCCTCAGGACCCCAATCAGGAACTCTATACCTACTTACATGGCTAAGTCCAACTGTTAACGACTTCATTGACTGATGCCATGTCTGGATTTGGCCGCCCTTAACTTTCTCCCAGCACGTTTCTGCACCAAAAATCATCGCCCGTCAAGGTAGGCGGTGGTTAGGCTTACGTAACACATGTCCCAACCACCTCAGTTGACAAAAATTTATAACCTCATCACTCGATTTCCCATCCTTGTACCTAGTACTCTATTCCAAACTCAGACATTGCATACTCCGTAGTCTCGAAGTACACGAGCAATGCTTCGTAGACACCTATGATCGAATACTAGCAATCTGCAAATATCCTCCATTCTTCATAACCATGTTTCACGCCTCTAAAGTAGAACGAAGAAAACTGCTGTACAGTAAACTCGCCCTTTGGTTGGACGACGGATATCTCGTCCACACCACATGTAGCTCAGGGTGACAAAGCCAGTCAAGCTTTCTGAATATATACCGAGATTTCGTCAGACATTAGATCATCCGTACTGGTGAAACTCCTAAGGTAAGTGAGGTGATTAATCCGTTCAACTACTTCACTTTCTATCACTAATTCAGGGGATGATGTAATCTAATCCTGAGGTAATATTTTACATGCGGAGTGAGAGTACCGCATTCCAAACATGCTTTTATTGTCGCTAAATTTTGTAGTTTGAAGACTATGGATATTTTTCAGCGTCTTAACCAAACAGAACTATATCATTTGCTCATTCTGAATCAACAAGTGAATCTCCTGGTAGAAGATCAATTCCTGGAAAGTCAAGCAATGAGTGTTATCTTTAAAAGCATGTTTATGACATATTTAATTAAAAATGCAGAATGCGAATAACTTTGATGAACACCGCTTTAGGTTACAAATTCCATTAAAGGCTAGTTTGGTGACTGTCTTGTCTTCTCAATATTTTAAATCACTTATAACTATGTTTCTTGTCAATACTAGACACAACCGTTATAGCAAAATAAGATTGTACAGGTAACAATGACTTTTGTGGAGGTTATTTCTTTAAAGAAGATGCACAGCAGTAATTATCTATGTGTGAGACATACAATGTGCATATTTCATGTTCCTCTTGATGGCAAGTATAGGTGTATTTTTACACTACTTTTCTATTGATTGTATTTTCACCCACACAATTTAAGCATAAATAACTCAAATAAACTTTTAATAGTTATTATCAACTGAAATGAAACTACTTAAGTATCTATTATGGGATTGACTTTGTAAATGTGTATTTTAGCTATTCAGTTGTTTACGATTGTTTTTTTCCTATGGTTATCCATACCACTAATTACATGAGTGATTTATTATTTGGAAATTTTGTCTATATTTTTACTTTTGATGAAAGCTTAATAGTTCAATCAAGAAAGATTAGTTAGTTACTTGTCATTCTTCGAATACATGTAACTGGTCATTTTGTTGAAGTAGATATCAGCTATGATATAACAGTTATGTTTGTACGAGTGGTATACATTCTTTAGCTTCTATTATTTATGGTATGATCTATAAATAGTATTCAGGTAAGTATTTATATGTAAATAGTTAGTCTTGAAGTCTCAGTTTTTGACACTTATTGATATTAGCTAGTGAAAAACGATTCTCTAGTCTTGATCGGTTCCATAACTGATCTAAATGGATCATATCTATGCTCTCACTTACTTGGTTTTGTCGCGTGGTGTTCTAGAAGATTGATTCACATTAAAATTACTGCCTGGTGGAAGCATGTATCTTGTCTGAAACAAAAGAAAGAAACCAAGACTATACAAAAGATATTGGTGAAGACAAAATATTTATCTCTAAGATCTGTACTCATACACATTATGCGTATTCTGGTACATCTTCGTAAACCAGCTTCAACAATAAAACTATTATTTCATTTGCCTAATATACATAACTGAACATTAAATAGTGCACATGTTAACAATGTTTATTGACTGTTCAGTATTCATATTTGAATTACAGATTAATTAATAAACAAACTGGAGTTCGCCAACTAACTTATGGTTATGAGATTATCATAATGTTTGTTTTTGTAGAGGCGGTGTGAATTACCTTATGGAGTTTAGGTCATTTTCTGGCCTTCAATAAATCTGACAATAGAATTTTATCTGGTCAGCGAATTCGCAAATCGATTAATCTATAATAGTAGTAACTTTTATTGGTCAATTATATGCCAGTGTTGTAGTCGGAATACTTATGTCCGTTAAATAAATATTACTTGTTTATATAGTTTATTAAACAAGAACCTAAAACATTAATATAATCATCCGGTTGAGTTATGATAATCATTAAAACTAGGTTAACATGTAATCTCATATATTTTATTGACGGATTTATTTTTAAATAATAAAAATAGTCGGAATTAATAGTTTCTAACACTCACTATTACCATCTACGTAAAAACAATCTCTGTAGCAAAATTGAATTGTGGCTAAAAGTGAGATCTAGAACTCACGTTTTGTCCTATATGGAGCTCGTCTATGAATATACCTGTAGCTCAAGTACTAATTTTTACACTACTTTCATCTTCAAACGCTATTTCATTGTCTGCTTAGTTACTGAGTCGATATAGCCATTAACATATCAAATTAGTTGAATTCATGTGTAAAGCTTTGTATTTTCCCTTAGTTGATCTTCAGAATAAATTTTTATAAATACATATATTTCTTTTTGTACATTCTTGGTCTTCACATATTAATACAATAGAATAACGTAACTTTCGAATTTAATCTGTTTTATTAAATAAATCTTATTTACTGATACATTTTAATTAATTCCTTGTTAGTAAAGAATAGCTTTAGATGGTGGTTGGAGGTAGTCAACAGGAAATCCAGTACTTCCACATGATCATGAATTACAAATCTCATAACAGTTGATAATGTACTCAATAGCATATCCTTAGAACTTTGGAGATCACTTGTTAGCCATTATCAGCCATACATTATCTACAACTAGTAACACAGAAGCAACTATCATTTGGTCTTTAGTAGGGGCTATTGTGATTTTATTTATTCAGTTTACTTTAGACAATAGGGATTTATATGCAAAGAGGCCATGTTTAATTATAGTGTGAATATTGACAAATAATTCCGCGTGTAGCTCTTTTAGGGTCACTGCCGGTCCCAAAACCGTGTAAAGGAGAAGGGTTGAGCATGGGGTCGGCAACCCCATCCCGTAGAAAACAACCTTGCTAAAAAAACGCTAACCATAATAGGTATCAACAAAGAAGAAGTAGTATTAATTGAAAGATTTACTGGAAGATAAAATATGAACTGAAACAGAATTGATCCATTCAACGTTTAACAAATGTAAATGTTAGTATTTGACATTCTATAATTCATAATCATATCCCATACATTTAAATAACTCATATCAAATATAATTAATTTTAGAAATTGATTTCAGAAAAAGTTACTTTTTCTTTTGCATTCATTATAAGATATTTTATATGCATGCTTTTGTTATTGTCATATCAGTTGCATTGTATTTACGAAATAAGTTAAATTATCTTCTCAGTTAGACTAAGATTTATAATCTTTAAAAATGCTGTACTTTATTACTATAAACCAGATGATCAACCTTTCATTGATAAGTATTTTGGCTAGAAATGGATTTTTCGCACTTCACTACCCAAGGGATGCACATTTCATCATCGATAACAGCATGACAATACGATTAAGTTTACACATCGACTTCGTAACACTTTTAGCCTATAATTTCTTTTAGATAACTTAGTATCAGAAGGGGTTTTGTGGAGATTGTAGTAATTTCAATAGTTGAAATCATGAGCCAATTCAAGCTAGACCACCATAGAAAACCTGAAAGCACTGGACGATTGTTTCGTCCTAGCATGGGACTCCTCAGCTGTACGCATCCAAAACCCCGCCTGAGGAGTCCCATGCTAGGACGAAACGATCGTCCAGTGCTTCCAGGTTTTCCATGGTGGTCTAGCTTCAATCGACTCATGATCTCAACTATTGAAACAACTTAATTATTTGAAAAAAGTTAAATTGGCTGACATTAAGTGATTTTTATCAGTTTTTACATCTGAATAAAATATCGTTTAATTGATGAGGTAATTCTAAGTGATACATTATTTTGATTTTAAATGATCTTATACATTGATAATGTCATGGTAGATACCGTCCTCAGCATGATGTATTGAAGAGCAAGTAAACTTTCTCTAAGAATTTTTATTGATCTTCTATACTTCATGAAAGCATTTCAGTATGTTTTACTTAGAAATTACGCATTAGGAGAGTACACAAGAGCTTTTAGATCTAATAAGGTTTCTTTCCCAATCTATTTCTCAACATACATACACGCAATCAGTAAATGCAATTAACATATTCTAAATTGAATTTCCTAGCTAAATAATATATTCAATCAAATTGACATGTTATTAGTCAGTGATTGGATATAAATATATCCGTCTGAGTCGAATATGAGAGATTATCTAATATACTCTAGTATTCATTACACTTTTATTCCATATGTTGACTATTCTGTATTGTATGTACATAAACTCTTGTTGTTGTCTATATCTGGTCGTCAATCAAACAGTATATGTGTACAGTATATGTTATAATAAACTAGCCTGGAAGCTGATATGTAAATGAATTGAATATAATTAGAAAAACAAAAACAGATTTCCGTTATTTTCCAAATGAACCAAAATACTTTCATGTTTCTCTAAATATTGCTTTGAATGCTTGATCTAGATTTCATTACAGTTTATTCAGAATATATTATTCTTCCTGAAGATTTTACGAATAAATTTAAATAGTATTAGAAAGAAGTTTTGGGAATTCAAAATTGCGCCACCGTACACGATTGTCATCAGTGAGTTACTATCTCACGACAGACCCGGTTGAACTCCATTGGTCACTACTTTTCATTAGAACTGCAGGATATACCTCTTGAAGTCAGTCACTAGTGAGCATATGGATGCTCATTGCTGAGGAGTCCCACGATGGGGTAAAACGGCCGTCCAGTGCTTCCAGGTTTTCCATGGTGGTCTAGCTTCAACTGACTCAAGATCTCAACCATTGAAATTTTAAGTTATATGTTGAATATTTACAATAGTATGGTGTAAAAAAATCTTCGTGTTTATGATAGGTCAATCATATTATTATATTTAAGTCTAATTACTTATATAAACTTAATTAGAGTTTGATATTAGCTAATAATGATGGCTATTTATTTTTTAGAATATGAGGAGTAAAAGCCAAATGGTAACGCTAGAATCTCAAAATTTTATACATTCAGTTGATCACTAAATGTCATCAATAGCTCTTTTCTTATCTTTAAAATATACCAGTAAACAGAATAATTAATTAGACAAATAAAAAATTCAACCACCAAGCAAACTCTTACCTCTTGTCTATCAACCACATTTGGAGAGTTGTAGTTAAACAATGATGGTTCATATTCATGTGGGACTACCGTGAATCTGTTCTCAAAGTTGGGTATATAAACGCGATCTTCGTAAGGAGAGTCCTTCCTGGAAAAACGTTATATATGTGTAGTGTTTAGATTAAAGCTTATATTTACAGAGGTTATTTTTTTCAACATTGTTCAATATCACCATTTATATCAAACAACACCTAAATATTCAAATGTAATCAATGGGAACATTTCAAAATGAAAATGATTGTTCTTATCTGTTTATCATCATTTTATCTAATACTCATATGAAAAATCAACGATAAAATCACTGGTTGGATAATTGTATATAGTTTTAAGACTAATTCTACATGATTCCGATGGTAAACGTTTAGATGTTGATTTGAAAAGTAGCCGCTTTTGTTCTCTTTTTACAAATGTAGAAAATATAAGAAATGTTTTACGAACAGAACACTTTTAGATTGCACGTCAATTTGCAGAAACAATCATTTTGGAGCGGAGTGAAGGTAAGATTTTATAAAGGAAGATTCATTATTTGACTACATTTGCTCCATAAATTTTGACTAAATACTCGTAACAGGAATGTTAATGGTGTAAAGCAAAGAATACAAAATGCGTGATCAGAGACGATATCATTTTAAATTTAACATGAATGACGGAATTCAGAAGATTATCGTGGTAATGTGGTGTATACTACTTATGTTGACAGATATAAGCAGTATGTAACACCGATTCGAAGTGGAATATCTAGTAGCAGAAGGTTGAGAAGATAAAATTGAAGCAAACAGGAATATAGGCTGAGAGTAACTATAATAACAACAAGAATAAAGGAATATTAAGTTTGTGAGGGACAATTGATGGAAGATGTGCAAATTATGTATTTAATGTACCGTTTTCATATTTCATGAAGACACTATGTAATTTTGCATTAAATAAATAAATTGGTCTTATTCACCTGTCTTCGTTCACCAAAGCATGTCTTGTGAACGTAGAGTAATCATCAAAATGTAATATACGTTAAATGTGGTCAGATAATATGGGAAAGCGATGCAACTACAATATCAAATGTATTTTAAAAGGGTAGATTCTACATGTTTAACATGAGGACCGACAATGAACGGTTTCATCACTGGAGTTATGTTTAGTTTTTCACATAAATTTTGGCGGCTGCTTAGGATTTTAATTCCATTATTTTTAGTAGTGTCTAAGCTTCACCATCAGGATATTATTTCACTATTGGTAACAATGTTTTATATAGACGAGGTTCACGAGTTGGAGATTAATGTATGAATAACAACTGATCGTGTACTGTGAAGCTACTATCTTATTAAAAATACTAATCCTAAAATTCGAGTAAGATCCATTAGTATAAGAGGTATGGCAGCTGTGTCAAAAGAAAAGATAAGCGGAAGATCCTTATGTTACACAAAATATAAACAGGTCACGAATATACCTCGAACTCTCGAGTAATACACAATAGACTCATAAATCACTGTGCGTGTAGGTTAAAATAGCATATAGTACGCCAAAATACTTCACCTCTCATAAGTAGAATTAAACAAGTACCAAGTAGGTTCACTATTTATTTTATTACGTTTGAGTTTTAAAAAGAATTTGTGAAAGTTATAATTGGTTGTATTTTATTTTTCCTTACACTTATAGAGATGAATTTCTGTGATCTGTAAACTTAATTACATATGATCTTTTAATTAATGTTGGATGTTGATCACTGGCATCGATTAAATTTTTTATCTAAAAAATTAGGTTCTCCTTCAATTAGCTAAACCAGTACTATCAAAAACTCAGGGCTTCCCGTAATTAAAAACAACATATACAATATTTAACAGTAGTCTACTATGAAAGCGTTCTCACTTATATGATGTGTGATAACTGACCCTTGAAGGTTTTAATTTTATGAGTTAATAAATGACCTAAGAAATTTGAACGTGTCAATTATTTATGTCTGGAATAAATGATATTTTTGTTGGAAAAATGTTTTATTTAAGTGTATAAACATGTTCTTTGAAACGACTCATTTTTACTAGCCAATAATTCCATCTCCTGATTACCGTTTACCGGTGTTCTGAGTTAATAACTTAAGCTTTATAATCAATTATTTCTCACCCATAACAAGTCAAGTTATTTATTACATAATCAATATAATTCATACAAATTTTCCTTTATTATAACATTCAGCCTCTGAGTGTTACCGTAGCATCAGATATAATTCCTCATTTTTGTGTATTCACTTTTAGCTTATTATTTAATAATATTCAGGGGCATGAACCATTTAGTATGAATGCTGAATGGATAGATTTTTAAATAATAGAAACAACATTCTATTGAAAGGTGTCTCAATGAAAAACGAAAGGAAACTTTAGAGTGCAAACATATCTTCAATGTTCATTTGTTGTGATAGGAGATAACTAATTCATAATACAAGTTACTAAATTCAGTTTATTTATATTTAATCAAATTTACACTAAATACATTTCTGATTTTAGTCACAGTAAAATTTGTTCAAGTGTAATATACTTATAATATAAAATAGAAAAAATAGCAATATCCGATTGATATCAGAAGGGGTTTTGTGGATATTATTGTAATTTTAATGATTGAGATCATGAGTCAGTTAAAGCTAGACGTAGTGGACGGCCGTTTCGTCCTGGTGTGGGACTCCTCAGCAGTGCGCATCCACTGCCGTCCAGTGCTTCCAGGTTTTCTATAGTGGTCTAACTTCAGATGACTCATGATCTCAACTATTGAAATATCCGATTTGTAAGGAAAAACTATGAATATTCGTATGTAACTTAAAGAGCTAACCATTATAAAATTTTACTGGAATAAGTGTAAAACCGAAAAAATGTTGCAAAATGATATGGCAAGCCAATCAGAAGTAGCGTATGGAAAAGGTCAATCAATGGAAACTATAAATGTTCTGAAAAATAAATGCATTTCATTGGCTAAGAAATGGGTCGATGTTCTAGGGACAGAATGGTATATACATGAATGAGTATTTGTGTGTTTTAATCAGTAGTACAATACACTTTCTGATTCACTCTTGTGTTCTCGCTCAATTCAGCAGCTAGGGGGGTGGGTTAGTTCATAGCACGTCATGTATCAATCTCCGATTTCAGACCACCCATCATAACACAAACAAAACTAATTAAAATTTAATGAGATTCCCACTTATTATATATTGTAGTCTTGTAGTTTTTGAGAAAAAAAAACACCCTTATTTATTGTTTAATACCAAACTATATATATATATATATATATATTTAATATTAAACGTTTTGTAAAATTATTCAATAATTCTGCATTTAATAACTTAATTGTCGTATAATACATTGATCATTTTAGCTTAGTTTGACATTTTGGAAGTACAAACTGAACTGTCTGGTTACTTTATTACTAATAAGTTGTAAACATTGTCTATCGGGTACTTGATTAAATTTCATGTCAAATATTGATATATTCTAAAGTGACTTAATAATAATGTTTTTTCTTGTTGTTTACTTATTAAGGTCGAAATTTTTCTGACATCACAATCTATTATGAATGACCTATGGAATTAGTCAGTATATGAATCATGGCTTGAAGTATCTTGTAAGTGGGTTTGCTTCATATGAAAGTCACTTACAGATCAATTGATGGAAGCTGATTTTATGAAGATCAACTACCAATAAAGTTGAGTTTATTTTTTTTTACCTTGTTGTCATTTGTTTTTCAGAACAGATATCAACCCCACTGATTATGTATTTATTTGTTATAATGGATCAATAGTAAAATTGTTAATCTATTTATAAAGGGATAACGGACAGAACTTTCAAAACTATTGCTTCGTCCTCGACCAAATGTCCCCGCATATTTTTTTCATATACTCATAATCCCAGGCGTTACTCGTCATTCTAAGTATCTAAAAACAATTTCTAAACAAAATCATAAGTTCCTAATTAAGGAAGCTGAGGTCTTAATATCTGGATCACATGCTTAGTTATTCAACTACCTTGATACATTCCATGCATCTCCAAGATTGCGCCATAGTCTTTCATATTCATTTGTCAAGTTCGATTGAATAAAAAGCACAACATAATCTGGTAATAGTGGGTAAATAGTTGATTGAGCAATGCTTGATCTATTTGTTTTAGGGTTTCGTGTAGCATCAACTCCATATCTAGAATAAAAGATGAATAAACAAATACAATGAATACACATCATTACCAATATGCATTTTTCAAACCTTTGAAAAGAACTTCGAAATTGAAATGTGTACATTTGTTGTTACATGGCAATTTAGAATGTATATTAAAAAAAATTAATTTAATTTAAACGAGGCTGTACCTTACAATTTATCATAAATTCCTTGTTGAAAAGTGTTTAATTTGAGCTTAAAATAATAAAATTAAAATGAAATTACAGTTAGTTTGGTCCCCGTTTGTAAACAATTTCATTTTAAATACATTTGGCGGTAAAATGAAAAGGATGCTTATCAACCTTTGATTGTGTTATTGAACATGTTGTTTTATACAGAATTAGAAGTTTGGCCGCCGGATAAGTTCATGTTACCGCCAAATGTATTTATAAATTTACATGTACCTGCCAAAGCAGCTACATTGGTCGAACAGAAAGAAGGGCATATCTCAGATTTTTTGAACATGTTCCAAAATGCCTCAGAACAAGCGAAAAAAATATTCTAAACGATGCAACCACCAAAAATCTTCTTGATACAGGACATCAGGTCGATACCCTACAATCATTCAAGGTGATTAGTAAGCAGCCAAACTCCAGTCTTCTAAAGTTTGCTGAAGCTGTTGCTGTCAGACGCCAAAAACCTGATTTATGTGTTCAAAAAGAGATGGTTATTAATCTTTCCTTGCCTTGGTGACTAATATTCCTTCGTTGTACCTTAATATATGTTTTTTCTTTTTCCTTAAACTCTTTCTTGCATTTATTACATCATTGAGTTTTGTTCCAACTATCTTCCAAATTAATAATCTTATTTCATCAACTGAACTCTGCTCATTTTATTCCTATAAATGTTTACTTGTTCCTAGTAGTTTGAACTGTTGTCACAATCAATGTTGTAAAATATTCTTTCACATAAGGTATATATTTACAATATCAGTATATTATATTTATTTACACCCATGCTAAACTATACTAATATGTCTTCAATATAACTTCCAACTAAACCGTCTCATGTAAGTAATTTGAACCCATTATGCAATTATGATTTTAAATATCACAGGTTGTAAGCAGCTGACGAGAACCAACGAAATAAAAATGAATTCATGCTATTCTGTTAGAATGTTTGTTCTTGCTCTTTTCAAAATGATAAAAAAACTGTGTATGAAATTTCATTTTATTTAGCAGATATTCAATGAATCTAACAAAAGTGATATCAATTCAGTTCAAACCATAGAAAAGATGATGATTTAATAGTTTTATTGAATTAGCTACATTTTTATTAGTATGCATCGTAGTTATAAATTTAATAAGTAATAAATAAAACCCCGAGTAAGACAGTTATGATTAGGTTAAACACTGATACAAATGCAAATTAGCGTAACCTGCCACATAATGATACCCAAGTGATAAAATGGATCGTTCCAGTAATATTCATTTGATGCTTGATGTAATTTCTTTCATAGTGTAGTTACTGGCTACTAGTTCTATAATTTTCAAATGATCATTTTGGACTAAATTATATCGATAAAGTAACATCAAATATGCTCCTATTCTAGTTATTCTGATTATAAGGCTTATGTTCGCTTAGTGGAAACAATTTTAATTTATCAATAATAATTTTATTACAAGATTTAACGTTTCGCTAACGTCTTTTTGAACTTCCATGAATAAAATTATAAATTGAAGACGAGTTTATCAATAATGCAGCATTAGTAACAGGTAGCTGATCTGTTTCGATCGTTTAAACAATAGTATGTAGATTATCAATAAACTCCAGGTAAGATAAATCATATTGGTCGTAACCGATCATGTTTTCATTTAATTAACTTTCTATAAAAGTAATTATTAATCGTTAATGAATAATGTACTTATTTACTTACTTTAAAAATTCAAACAGTTGCCTAGCCAAGTGAGCAGAATTCGGATCTACAAGATAGTCTTGAAGTCTCGCCAATAGAATGCATGCAAACTTGAGTTTTTCAAAGAAATCAACAGCACATTTTTTCACAGGTTCATCTAACTCACTGACTAAATCTGAATAATGTACAGAGTAAGAAATTTTATTTATTAGAAAAACTGTGACTTATAACAATTGAATAAAGTTTCACAAAAATATTTACTCAAAATAGAAAAATTCCGGACAAGGTTTACTTTGGCTGAGTGAAGATTATAAGGCTGTTCTTTTTTCGTGTATAAGAAGAATATGATTAAGTCACTCAACAACTAGTTTACTTCATAGATCTAATCACTTTTAATAAGTTTAGCTGTTATTTTACTGTCACATACCCTTCTCTGTCTGTATTTACACATTTCATTATCTTCATCATTAAGAGTATATGACACTGAGTCTATGCTCTGCACGTCTAATTTTATTTGAATCTTCCTTTGTCAGCGGTACTTCTCACCACTTTTGTAGTGGACCTAATTTATTTAATCGTCTAATCATTCGTGATTTAACTGTGAGGAAATTAAGCTACACATTTACTATCGTTGTATTTTCTCTGGTTATTTGTCCTTTGAGCAATTCTTATTGACTTTTCTGGACAGTTTGTAGCTAATTCAACAAATTCCTTAAAGGAAACAGACATCGTTGAATACTGTTAGCTTATTATTGTAAGTGTATTCGGACTAACAGTATCAGATTTTTTGTAGCCCACTTATTTGTATGTTAAATTTTAATCTGAACAAACAATAATTAACCGTATTTGAGCTTTTAGTTTTTGCCTTTATGTATTACTTCATTTGCTCTGGACTACGAGCAGTGCCATATATATGTTAAACCCTTCTTTAGTGTTGACTAAATTCGATCGACCAAGTTACACTATGACCACTAGTATAAGTGACTTGAAAAAACGTATTATAATAATTTAATTATAGTACTAGTAAAAAGATAGTTCTTTAGGGAAAATAACTTATTGTACAGATTAAATACATTTTCAGACTCAATAAAAGGAAAGAGCTATTCGTTTGAATTAATCGGCTTTGTGTTCTAAGTACGCAATTCCGAATTCGCCTTATGAGATACATACATTTTTTAAAGGAATAATTAAGAGAATTTGCCAAGGACATATTGGGTTTTTAAATATATGCTAAATTTTTCAACGAACTGAAGAAAGAACATTTTCTTTAATGGAAACATTGATAATTATATTCGTTAGTCATTAGTGATTTATTAAGAAATACAACCTTTGATGACAGAATACTTTATCGATGACTTTCAGGGAACCTTAAAATAACCCTGAGCGAGAAAATTCCAGTTTCAACTAATCACAGTACAGTCGGTATAAATGAATAATTTATGAAAAATGCTTTAAAAAAAATTAAAATATGTTAATAAATCTTACAGGGTTGATAAATTTATTAAAGTTCTCAGTAGGATGTTCGATTTTAAGATAATAGTGTGTGGTGTATGAAAAATCATTTATATGACTCCACATCATTTAAATTTTGGAGCTTTATATATTTTAAGGGTTCCTTTCATTCTCTGTCAGTTATCCGATGTCTATCACCATACATAAAGACATTTTTAAGCAATACGACTTCTTGTAAATTGTATACTATAACATAACTATAAAATACAATCCGTCGTTAGCATTCTTGTATGAAATATATGCTGTGATCTTAAAATCGCTATCTTCTATCTAACTAGTTCACCAACAAGGTATACTTTTACCGAATATGATTTTCAAATATTTAATTAAACTAACATTTGTAAGCAAAGATAGATAGTGGCTAGCAGTAGAATCCAGGACACGCGTTTTGTCCTATTTGAGGCTCGTCTGAGTTCGAGTCCCGGAGTGAACATCAACTCTAAGATTCAGGTATATCCAGCCGATGAGTTCCGAATAGGAAGAAACACGCGTCCTGGATTCCACTGCTAGTCACTATCCGTCTTTGCCTAGAATGCTTGTGACTTAAGGCAATATCGAGGTAAAGCTCACAGTATGCACATATGCCAATAAGAGACTGATCAATTGCAGTCTTAAACCTCAATGGGAAGATTTAAGCAAACGATACCAAGTAACCTAACATTTATTTTGATGGTATTAACGATTTTAATCAAATTTACTTGATCATATACAGTTATAACAGAAAATATTGACAATAGCAGGAGATCGATTACTTTGTCATAAATATATATATATATATATATATATATATATATATATATATATATATATATATATATATATATATATATATATAATTACTATGGTGTTAAAATCGGTTTTTACATAAAGTTTATAAACTGAATGTACTTACCAGATGTTTGATTTACATGAATACTTGAAATTCGACTTTTTGATTTACTCGATGTAGCAACAGATGGTGCTGATTTAGAGAAATGACGACTTGTTCTGCTTTTCAAAATTTTGTAATTTGATTCAATGTCATCAAAGCAGTGATTAAGCAGTGCAACTTCTAAGTCAATCCACTCACGATCTATTTAAGTAAAAGTATAAACCAATAGAAAAATGACATAATTTTGGTTCAGATTACTTTTTTTAACAGTATAAAGCTAAGGCATCAGTCTCAAATGAGACAATGAAATAGTCAAATCTAGACATTTTAACAAATGATATTATTATTATTATTCTGTATTGGTTGTTTGATAAAAGTGGCCTCTTAAAACATTACATTACGGTTCATATGAAGCTGTCCTCAACTACTTCTGAAAAAATTGGTTTTTCAGAACTTCACATTGTTTGATTATGCCACAGATATGTGGTATTCAATCAACAGAATATCAAACTTAACATATATTTTATGTAAATCCAAATAATCTTCTATATGGTAAACTGTCCTTGATTATGAAGTTGGAATAGCTAGGGATGTTCGTAACGGAAGATGATCTTACATTATTATGAAGGCATACTGATAAACATTACGAATATTTTTCTTATATGAAATGAAACCTGTATGATGGTTCAGGTTGGGTGATAGAAAAACTTGGATGGATCTTCATCCAGGTTAGTATTTACCATCAAAATGTATCTATGACCTTAAAATACCTAATCTTCTCCTTATAGTGTAAACCCACAAGAGTATTGTTATAATCCGAATTGAAATCAACCTCATATGTATGACTGAAGATGTTATGTAATAACAAGCGTCATGCTATCTAATCTTTATAACTCATCAAATTCCGGCTATGGAGTTTCAGTATAACTACTAGTTAGATTAAATTGACTTCATTATAGTCCTCGTTGAATGTTAAGGGATTTGGATTCTGGGAGGGTAATTCAAGAATCAACGTATTTAACTTTCCTTTTTTTAGCTTACATTTTAATCTTAATAAACACTCTATCAATGCTGATTGATCTATTATCAAGGTTTCCAACGTATGATCATTTGGTAATGAAAAATAATCGAGAGTTGATGGCAGTTAATCTCCTGATAGGAATGAGTTGGAGATGTTATTAAGCACACTTAGATGTTTTACTTACACCAAGTAAGCAATAGAATAACTTAAAATCAGTATATAATAAAGTATTTCTTATGTCTTTGTAAATAAAGAATGAACGCATGTGTGTATTGTATAAAAGATTTTATATATAGTCACTATAGCTCGATATTGTACAAATCAATTTGTAATTTGAAGCTGTAGACAATCGCATTTGATTCTTCTGTTGTATAACAGTATGATTATTTTCACAGGACAAGTTTGTTTTTATATAATATATATTTTTATTAATGTAATAAGATATCCAATTAAATTATAATGAGTTTATTTCAATCTCTTCATTTCTTAGATACACATATCATATTATGGAATGATGGAGAAAATTTGCTATCCAAATGGATACTTTTAGCGCTGCTGAGTTCGCCGTGCTAGATGGTTTAATTACAGAAGTTCCACTGTCGCTCTGGAAAATATCACCAATACTTCTACATCTAGTTCAAAGAACTCAACAATATCAAAAAGATCAATTCCTGATAACTTGGTTTTACAGGTTTTTAGTTTACATTTATTATTATTTTAATATCCTTTTAGTAAATATTTGATCAGTTACCAGTTTTAATGCTTTTTCAGATGTTTCAAAGACATTTGAATCATCAATATTATTGTGATGACTATTATTTCAATAATTGAAATCATGAGTCAATTGTAACTAGATCACCATGGAAAACCTGGAAGCACTGGACGACCGTTTCGTCCCAGTATGGCGCTCCTCAGCAGTGCGCGCCCACTATCCCACCCTCGCGAGATCTGAACCCAGGACCTGTCAGCCTCGCGCGCGAGCGCTGAACCATCAGACCACTGAACCGGTATCCAACAGTGTTAATGTCTAACTTCAACCAATCCACGAAATTGCGCCACCGTCACCATTGTCTTCAGTGAGCTGATGTGTCATAACAGACCTGGTTGAATTCCACTGGTCACGGCTTCTCACTAGAACTCCAGGAGTGTCTCTTGAAGTCAGTCATCAGTGAGCAGATGACTATTATCAGAAGAGGTTTTAAGGAGGGGGATGGGATTGTGGATGCGCACTGCTGAGGAGTCCCATACTAGGACGAAACGGTCGTCCAGTGCTTCCAGTTTTTCCATGGTGGTCCAGCTTCAATCGACTCATGATTTCAACTATTGAAGTTACTAAAATCTCCACAAAACCCCTTCTGATAATTACTATTATTGTCAATATCGTTAGGATTGCTACATTGTTATTCCGATAGTTTTTCTTATGAGCAACAAATTACACATGACTTATATGATATAAAGTCAGCTGTTTAATCATGTATTTCGTTCTTATTTAACGAAATCAAGATTGAAACATTGATATGGAGTCAGCGCTTCTGAATAAAAGAAGTAGAATTCAGAGAATAAGTCTACTGTAAAACATTTGTAGTAAAAAATCTAGTTGTTAGGAGACATTAAATTTCCTATTTTCTTTGAGATCGAATTCATTTTTCTCTTTGTTTTAGTGTCATTGAACAAATAGATATGATTTTTATAATTTAAACCATGAACTGATTTCAACTAGATTACTATTGGCACCAGGAAGCACTGGATGGCTAGTTCGTGATTTAAACTATGATGATTCTACAATCTCCACAAATCCCTTTATATTAAAAATAAATATCCTCGAAAGTTATTTTTAGCTCTTTTCTGATGCTTCTAACATATATTTTAAGGTCACAGCAAAATGGATCAAGGTCAAAGGGTCAGCTCGACACTTTACTATTGATGAAAAGTGGATATGGTTTTTTTTTTTTTATCAAGTTAATAAAGAAACCAGCCAATCTGATAATGAAAAGCACAAAAGTATTTTGAGATGATAGAGAATATTTGTATCTAAAATCTGGTTATCCAATTTCATACCAGATTGTTGTTTAATATACTTCATTAAATTGAAGAGCTTAGTGAGACATCAGTAAAATATAATTAATAAAATATAAGAATAATTGTTAATAGCAATTTTTAACTAGTTTTCTTACTGATTTGTGATTCACTATATACACTATCCTCTTTGGTAACCATTGGTGGAAGTTGAATTCCACTTGAACTTGTTTGCAAAGGTATCCTTAGATTTGGTTCAGATGGAGCCCTAGAGATTAGCATGGAGTCATTTATGCTGTTAGAAAAAATAGAAAAAAAGTAAAAAACACTTGAAACATATTTTACAGAAGTTATTTTGCATAAAAATAGAGCAATCAAGATGAAGGCGTGAAAATACCAAAAATATTAGAAATGTAAAATATGTCTATACGTTGTGACATGTTTAAGCAATCAATGTGTTAACATAGATAACAACTGCCCTGTCTACTTTATCAACTACACATTCGAGATTTCATTATCTGAAGTTTTACGCTAGTCTTTAACCCGTACCTATTCAGCATGAAAGTCATTATAATCTGCAATCTTTGTTTAACTGATTTTAATGACCTTGTTTCTTCGGCAACATTGCTTTTTATTACTTTGTTGCCAAATGGATGCCCACTGGTCTCTAATTCATTAAGTTTAATTACGAAACTACATGCACAAAACCTCACATCTGAATATTTTTGATACATTTTTTAAAATGATTATGCAAATACTTTTTTCACTTTCTAAGTTAATAAAAATAAATTTTTATGATATAAGCACAAATATACTTCATCATCAAAATGTTTCGCTGATATATAAGTTAAACTTTTCATAAGAAGTCATTAATTTATGTGCCATATCGTTTCAAATGCAGAGAATAAGAACCAGGGGATAGAAATGGATTTGTGGAATTTTTGTAAAACTATTTAAATGATTATGTTCGAATAGCAGTTAACAAACATATTATATAGTCACTTTGATGGAGCTTTGTTCTCTGAGCTGGATGGTTTGGTCGTGGAGCTTTCATCGTTCTTCTGAACGATATCATCAGTACAAATTTCAAGTCGAAGTGAAGTTTTTGGATTTCTCCACATGTGGTTCACAGCTTCTCCTGTACACCTTGATGTTGATATGTTTCTGTTGACTTTAAACTTGTCATTGTTTACTTCTTTATTTTTTTTTGTATCTCCCATTGGTTTGATTTTTGTCCCTATGTTTGTACATAATTTTCCTGATTGGTTGATAAATTGGATCGATTTCAATGTGCTTGTTTATTGCAATGAACAAGCTCCAAGATCAAATCATCCAGCTCAGAGAACAAAACTCTATCCAAATCAAGCACCTGAGCTACAAATCTCCACCATCTCAAAATAGTCACTTATTTGTTAATAGTACAATAACCCATATGTTCAGCCATATGTAATGTCGAATTTCTTATTCTGGGGCTTAATTTAATCATAAACTTAAGTATTAATTTGGAATATGTAAGCCACAGATTGATAGATTCTATCTTCAATATAGTGATCACTTTTATTTGATTTTAACTATAAAATCTAACAATGAGGAGTCCCATACAAAGATAAAACTGTAACAAAGTATTTTCTTGCATTCAATTATTTGCTAGCTACAGTCAGTTCCTGATATAAGCTATAGAGTACTTAAACAAGCTGAATGAATGATTTTAAATTTTTGTAAGTTTGAAAACTGTTAGTTTTACAATGGTAATTAATTACTAATTTACATTTGAATTCCTAATGTATTTTAAATATTTGAGTTTATCGTGAATAATTGACAGAAAGTTGACCTAACTTGAAATCGGTATGTGAGTATACCATTACAAAGAGTTGATATATTTTCAATATAGATTGTTTGACTGAATTCTATTTTTTTATTGCACGCATTTAATTTTTATTCAGCTCAGAGAACAAAAATCCATCAAAATCATCCACCTGAGCTACAAATCTCCGTCTCACTGTCATGATTATATTGACAACTGAAGTCTGATGTGATGGTGGACGAACGTACAATTTCATGGATTGGTTGAAGTTGGACATTAACATCGTCGAAAGCCTGCTCAATTATCTAATGATCAAGTGTTTGAGTGAGAGACTGATAGGTCGTGGGTTTGAATCTCGCGAGGTTGGATCGTGGATGCACACTGCTGAGGAGTTTCATAACAGAACGAAACGGTCGTCAAGTTTTTCCAGATTTTTCATGGTGGTCTAGATTCAACTGACTCATGAATTCAATTATTAAATTACTACAATCTCCACAAAACCCCTCTCAGATATGATGTATTCATTAAATTACCATAAAATATAAAGATAACATATAACTATATTTCATGCCAAAATTCTATTTATCGATGCATATGAAAGTTGCTTAATTGATTTATACATTATATGTGACCTTTTCCGCTCTATTTTATTAACTCATAAAGAATAATTACCTTGTAATGTTTATTCTGTACACGAAAAACAAAATGTTTATCAATAAAGTTTATAATATTTAAAAAATGCTCATATTGAAAAATAAATAACATTCACTCTTTTTCATTATAGCAGTAGAAAAAGTTTGATTAAAATCACTCCTTTTTTTAATTTCAATAGTTGAGACCATGAGTCTATTGAAACCAGACTACCGTGGAAACCTGGAAGCAGTAGACGGCCGTTTCGTCCAATTGTGGGACTCCTCAGCAGTGCGCGTTCACGACCCCGCCTAGAGGGATTCGAACTCAGGACCTACCAGTCTCGCACCAGGCGCTTGACCAACTAGATCACTGAGCCGGAATCCAATGGTGTTAATGTCTAATTCTAACTAATTCACGAAATTGAGCGACACATCCACCATTGTCATCAGTGAGTTACTATCTCACAACCTTATAATAATCAAAACATAAAACTACACTTACTCTTGATCATATGAATCATTGTCCAGAGCTCCAGCTCTCAGTAAAACATTGACAATTGTTTGAGCAGGACAAGTTAAAACCTACATGATAATATGCATAAAATAGAACTATACGAATGTAGATCTATAATTTGGAAACAATGTAACAAAAACGTTTGTTACTATTCATGTTTATTTTTTTGAAATAATAAAGTTTGATCATTAAGAATGATATAAGGAGAATGGAAGATAAAAACCAACCTAGAGCTTAAACAGACATTTCAGAACAATGTTCTATTGTTCAAAAAGAAAATGATTCATTATCTTTCATCATAAATCATTTTCATGAAAATAAAACAAAATTCCATTAGACTGGACAAATTGAAACCTTGTCAAATCATAATTAATATAACACATGGTGAGACTTCTGTGAGACGACAAAGAACAGTATTTTTAAACATGTATATGATTCGGTGATGAGAACCATTTTTTTAATTTATAGAAAGCTCAGATTATCTGATAAATTATTTCTTTTTACTGAGTAGTGTACTTTCTTTTTATTTAGAAACTCTACCAGTAGCTTAACGATTACAAACAAGTACAAATAGCACTATGTTAATACAGCACTTAGCTAGTTGGATATACTGTTTTTATGTGTTCAAAACCTTAATAATATTTCTTCTCTCAGAAATCCTCCACTAATGTCACACAAATATGTTTTCAAAGAAGATGTATGCTTCGCGGTTTTCAGGAGTAGTCTAAGCTCAGTCTGTGATGCATACTGTAAAGTAAGTATCAAAAAAGAAAATGATAAATGAGAAAACTCTTGTTAAAAAGGTGGATGATAAAGTCAGTTGTTTGAAAGAAAAGCGTTCTTCAGATCAACTTCTCACGACAATGGAAGATCTCCTAACTAAGCTTAGGTATCATGAGGTTAACATTAGCCTGTCAATAATAATTTGAAACTTTTTAGCTTCTCCACTAATGACATATTAGTTCTGAAGCACTAATATCTTCTGTGTCAGGCAACCTAGTTAGTTCTTCTGAAGTGATGGGAAGAAATTGTGCAGACTAAGAATGAAAAATATTTCTCAATGCATCAGAGAACAACTTCAAGTATGCCTGTACAAACTACAGCGCAAAAATTTAAAATCATCTATTTTATTATTGGTAATTGATCATAATCAAATAACATCAGACCTATAGTTTAATGTTATTTATGAAATACGGCTCAATCTACATAAATTTTTATATTTACATCTTGTGAAAACCTAGTTGTACGAAGTCTAGGGTCAAATGTTTGTGCTTGTAAACAGCTTTTTTGACTGATGTTAGCGCCATGGTTGTAGTCTACCTACAAACCTTTAATTTTTTTTGTCTCTATTACTTCTTACTTTTAAGTTATGTAAAATTCCATCCTGTAGAACCAGTTTTTTTATTATTATGATTAGACTATCATTTTTGATAAAATTCTTTTTTTCCAACCTACTCAGTGAAGAAATAACATTATTATTCTTTTTCGAATTCAGTTGTGTATTTGACCTTGAATTTTCTATAATTCTGATAGTTTCAGGTCTCTTTATTGATTTTACATCCAAACCTTCATGTTAGCATACAAATATGTTACCATACTAACCATTCTATAAAAATATACAACTGTGTCCCTCATGAAAATAAAATCGATGGGAGAAAATTCCTTTCGCGTGAATCTGTTTTTGTAAATATGTGTTTAACTATTTACTGAGTCATCCTCGTATTATATATATATATATATATATATATATATATATATATATATATATATATATATATATATATATATATATATATATATTGTAAGGGTTCCAGTTTCTTGATATTATTCGTTCTAAGGTTTTAAGTAAGAGAAACCACCTAAATATTCGGTAATTTAAAAACAGAAACATCTTGTCAATTTAAATTTTCATTCATATTTTTGGAAAACTAAATAAAGATATGATTTGTTAAGTTACTTGAAATAAATGTATTTCGTTGCGTCTTGGACGTCCATCATCCATTGAACCAGCTTTGATAGTGAACGTGAGTAGATTGTTCACTGGACACACATCTGGAGGAGTTATTCGATACCGAGGATAGAGTATACGACCAATTCGGAAACGTTCAACTTCAGCCTTTGTACACAAATGAACAAATTGAGTGTTTAAGTTTTTTAAAATAAAATTAGGCCCCAAGTATAATCTCTTCAACATTTGCATATTAGTATACGCTTTGCTTACAGGAAAAGTAATTTTTCTTACAGATTGTCTTTGGTTAGATTTGTTAAACTCAGTGTTAGTGATATGTCAAGGACGAATCATTCATAATAATATATGTCAGTTTATTGAATCAGGGTGAAAAACATTAAAAATCCAACCCATCTAGTCAGATGGAGTTTTTAAAGATTGATGGTTGATTAGAAAGAAACGTTTTTAATTCTATATAGGCATAAAACTTTTAGTTTTTCGTTTATATAGATACACAATTATTATTAAATATCTGTTAGTCTTATGATCTAATCTCAACATGTCCCATTACACTACACTTTACTTACGATTGAATAGTTGATTTAATAAGAAAAGTAATAATTATTAATTAGATGTGATATAAATTATCTGATATTTATTTAAAGTGATTTTTGTGTAATTTTTGTAAACAGTAATGTTATTCAATTGATTATTTTCGCATTTTCGATAAATGAAGAAATTCAATAGGTAAACTGTTTGTCTAGTCAGTTATGGTTGAAACCAATTGATCGATCGACCCTAGTTAATCCATTTTAATCATACTCCTGAAGTTATTGAGAAATATGAATTTCACATTTTCTTTTAGAGAAAATCAATTGTTTGTTACATTTTTTTCCTTTATTTTCAAGTATATAAGTATCACGTACTATAAATAATTTTATAATGAGATTATAAATAATGCCGTTTACTTTCTCAATGTTAATTCAGTGTGTACTGGTAAGATGAATAGGATTCCTTCAATATTAATAACAAATTTCACTTCAGAAACATTGTTTACAATTCTAATGAACATTTTGTTAATAAAGTAGTATCATAATACCATTAATACTCTAATTGGAATAGGTAGGGTTTTTAAAAAGGTATACTGATTATCTGTAGTGATTGAACGAGAAGTATTTCACTATGTTGTTGATGAATTAAAATAGGTAGTATTTGGCTAGAAAAAATGTTTTTGTTATTCTTGGAAATTGTATGAAATACCTGAGAAAATAATAAAATACAAACAATCAGTTTTTAATTAATTTGTATTGGTTATTTGAATCTTCCCATTATTGTTTGAGACTGAAATTAATTAGTCTATTTTCGGCATGTGTGTATCATATGTAGATTGTATCGATATTCCCAATATGTTATATCGATTATGAGCAGATATGGGCATCTGAACTTAAGGTTGCTTTTGAAGCGGACACCAATGGGTTCGAGTCCGTCGATGAACATGAATTCAGGGATGCCATTATATCCAAAACAGAATTCTAATGCTTGCCGCCTATTCATCTCTGTTTATAATCCGTATTTGATCGCTTATAATCATAGTATACATGGTGAAAGGGAAGTGTAGGTTCGAGCCCATCGTAATCACGAGAATTATTCATGAGATTTTGTCTGAAATTTGAAATTTCATGACTTTGATCTTACATTACATAAAGTAAGCAACGGGTATTCCTTTGTATAAAGGTTGTAACGGTTAAGATTACAATTAAAATTTTTTGTCGTTGGAGAGTAGAAAATATGGTGGTCAAAGATTTCTGTGTAGATTGTGTGTGACAAAAAATCAGTCTTATCTCTGAACCGAAATCCTAAACTCTTAATTCTAACCTTAACCTTAAACCTTAAAACATTGACTTTTAAAATTATTAGCCCTAAAATCTGACTAGAAACAACTTAAGGATTCCTAACAATCTTTCTCAGTCTTTATAATGGTCCGAGAAGACAGATGCTCTATATTATTATGGACAATTTACTAGTAGAACAACCCATTAAAGACTTGAACAGATCCATTTATTATGTGAAATTTGTGTATCATTTAAATATAATGGTTTTTCTTCAGAAACCATCCATTTACAATCATTATTTTTTGATCGGCTGTCCATAGACAAATATTCATCGCTATCATCGTGAGCTGGTCCCTTTATCGTACTCTTGACAAAATAATATGGGATTGTCAGTATATATGTAAAAAAATAGTGCCTTAGTTTATTCAAATAATTTTGGTTTGGTTTTGTCCCTAAAATTTGTACATTTTTGACAGAAATTTCAGTAATTTATCAAGAATAAATCTGCTTGTAGAGCTAAATGATATGAGACAAATATTAAATTAATGGTAAATTGTTCAAGTAATTTGCAATGAAAGTGTTTAGATTTTAGTTTAGTAACACACCATAAAATATATAACACAATTTGAACAAAGTATCTTTTGATCGTTAAATTTCTAATAGTGACAGTGTAGTTTTCTTACAAATCCATGAGACGAATGTTACGTAATAAAAATGAAGCAGATTTAAGTATCACAGTTATTATATTTTTAGGCAGTATCATGCAAAACTATCTTTGTCACCATCGATGTACTTCGGTGAAGATAATGAAGCTAGAATTCAACGTTAACACCACTGATCAAAGTAACACCATGATTTTTCCAAATATTATTTTGTGTATCTCGTCAAGAAACTTACTTATTCCAGCAATCCTTAGAGTAAATTAGTCAAGCTTATTTACTTTCGATGATTGTTCTCTATTGATCGTATCATATTCAGGGATAGTAAGGCAACATTACAGCTGTATGATTAAATCGTTCATTTTCAAAATCGAAAGATTAGGTAATCTCTGTGTAAAATGATTACTGCTGTAAAAGTGGAAGCTATTTTGAAATTATAACCCGCTCTCATTTACATCTCAGTACTTTTCCGTAAATGTTTGCAGTGGCAAATTCATCCATTAATAGTAACATAAGTTATGTGGTAACATACAGCAATTTTATAGTCTTAATTTTCTTAATAAATGATGTAAATTGTAAATGTCTATCTTCGTAAATCATGAATCATAGACATATGGCAATTTAAAAATTTCCGCGTCTATTAGATATAATAACGATATTTTAAAATATTTCTTTCATCTAAACGGGATGTATTCCGAACAAATGTAATTGTGCCAGTGTAATTGCATTAGTGGGAAATAAAATGTTTATTTTTTTTAAAAAGTTCTTTGAAGATCTAATAAAATTACAATATATAACTGATTTCAATAAGTATTTTGATAGTAAAGCATATAATAGTAGACTTACATCTCCATTACGTGGATCACTTAGAATGAGATATGGTTCACCATTATTATCATCGATTGACATATTAAAACTGCGTACATATGTGTAACACCCTTGCAACAACAGTTCAACAGCAGTTTGCGTGTTTGGTAATACATTTTTAGGAGTAACTTCAAATGTTCTCAAGTGTTGTACTTTATACGTTTTTAAATGTCTGGAATTGTTTCTATTTCCATTCATCTTGTTATGTATTTCTGGAAAAATATTTGAGAGTTTAATTTTATATATAATCCCAATATTATTGTGACACATGAAATGATAAAGTAAAAACTTGTAATTAAGATAAAGCTTTAAACAAGCTTTTCATATTCCATGGGATACCACATTTATCATCTCACAATAAAAAGTACAATGAATAGGTAAAAATGTTTTACTATGTACATTTAATAATTAGTTTACTATATTAATTCTTATTTGTTAACAATACAACTGATCTCATTTTTGTCAAGAACAACCGAACGATCAATAAAGTACTGGCTTTTATTAAGTTTGTAAATTAATTCATATATTTTTATCCCCTAATTTTACACAATAATTATTTAGTTCTGTTTGTAGATACTACTTAAAATGTTGAAGTAGTATACAAAACGAATCCGCACATTAGTTGACATCCATTTTATTGTAAATTGAGTCTCACGTTCAATAAAAAAGAAACTGTGCATTTTAAAAATATTTTTAGTTTTCAACTATTGATTATATATTTTTAGTGTGAGTAATTTTACTCTAAGTACACTAGACTGAGACACTTCTGAAATAATTATTAAATCAATACTTCAAGAATGTGACGTATTGATTACTTGCTTAATGTAACTAAACGTTAACCCTAAAAAAAAATCAGTTCTTAAAATTTTGATGAAGATCATGCGTTATGTAGAATGATGCATATTTTAAAGTTACTACTTATTTGTCATGAAAACAAGTTATCTAAGCAAAGCATAAAAATGTTTAGAAAAGCATTTTGGCATATATCATAAAGCTACTTTAAAGATACCGTTATCACAGACTGCTAACCTAATTCTACTTTTAATGCGGATTTATACTCTAGTACAACTAGTGAAAGTGCACATAAAACATACAAAAGTTTTAGTCGATAGAAATTCTTTTTCCATTGAAACAATTTATTGTTGTGTACACATGTCCTGGGTTCGAGTTCAGCATGCGGGTTCGTGTACCAGCACCGCTGAGGAGTCCCACACTAGAACAAAATGACCGTCCAGTGCTTCCAGATTTTCAGCGGTAGTCTAACACTAGTCGGTTCATGATCTTAATTAAAATAATCTAAACTGTACTTGGTATATTACCTATTATCGTCACTGATGTGATCAAAATAGAAGAATTTAGTACTACGCTGTTAAGAGGTGCATAATATAACGTAAATACTGTAAAACATTAGTTTCACGCATCAGCAAAACTCAAGTCAACACTCCTTAATCCATAAGAAAACTTTTAGGCTATATGTATTCTGAACTGAGACCAGCGAACTGTTGTTTAATGAAATAGTAAATTATTTTGCAATAATTTTTGATTACACTCATAGTATTGTCATTCTCACCACTTTTGGAGGGACTGTATAGTAATCACGGATTTTTTGAAAATGATTACCAAAATTACGTGTCATTTAACAACGTTTACAGTCCGTTAACAGGACATATGTTGACTACTTGATTTATAGTAGCATCTCTAATCGTCAGTAAAAAATTCCTGTCACAGGAAATTTCTATAGATCGGTTTAATTGCCTTGTATTTGCATATGGGTCGCAGCCACCGGCAAAGGCAGATACGCGAACGCGTATATTGTCCAGGATAGCAGTCGGTCTTAATGTAAGTCTATGGTTCGTATCGGAAGAATGCTAAAGAATAGAGGACTTGAAACATGATACATATTTAGTTGAATTCAGTGGTACAGCTCGGAAATAAATATATCACGGGAGTTTTTTTTTAGTGAGTAAGAAGATGAAGATCTCAATGCTTCATAGCTCAGAAAACTCGCGGGTAAATTGTTGCAAGTACTATTCCGTTTAAATTTATTTCTATAAGAAAAAAATGTTTTGAATATGGTACTCAGGGTCATACTCGGTCCAAGTATAGAATCAGCTAGAGGAATATTGACCGCTTACGTAATTTTAGAATATGCAGTAAATTGACAGTGCTTTAAAACTCCGTTCAATACAACGTTATTTTGTCGACACAAAGAGCAAATTTTCCTACTGAAGCAATGTTTGTAATAGTTTACTGGAAGGCTAAACCTATTAAGTTGCAGGTTTATATAAGGTCTGATATTACCGTTATCCGATAAACTACACGGTCAAAATGGGTCGACAAAGGTTACCTCCTACCTTTGTTAACATGATAAGCGAGTCTGATACAAAAATCTTTCTCATACGAGGGAGTGCCTTTAAACTATAGCTTAAATGATAAACATGCGTCGAGAAATTACTATATATAACAACTGTCATATCGACCTGCGGGGTATCGAACCTATAGAAAAAGTTAGGTTTAGGGACTTGTCTTTATTACAGTCTATAATATTGTGTATTCGTTCGTGTCTCATTCCCTTCTCAGTGTTGCTGAAAACATTAAACCAGAAAAAAGCAGTCCTGTTGTGTCAACTGGAGATTGAAAGAGTATTCAGTAATGAGATGGAAGTTTTCCTTATAAAATTTGCTGCGGTAAATGAAGCATTAACAGCAGATTTTATCTTAAAAGTAAAAGTAGTGGTTAGCACTAAAGTCTTTATGATAGTTTTTTATTTCATAAGGAATCCTACATAACCCATACAGACCAGATAGTAAATAAATAGCTGTTTTAATATTTGGTCACCGCACTAGAGGGTTTCTTGTTGTTTCGCATTTTGAAGACAAACTAAATGGAACAGTTACATCTATAGGAAATGACCGTATAACTTTTCGTAAGTTTATAGTATTCAACTAAGTAAGTAAACATGATTTTTGCCCAGGAAGACATCAACAAATAAGTGTATGGGTAAAGACAAACTAGACAAAGTATGGTATTGAGTGACAATAAAAATACGATGTCCATAAAACTCATAAATCAGTTTCAGAGTCGAAAAATGCTGGTCATTAATCACAGGTTAAATCACTAAATGTGGTAGTTATACATCAAATATTTGAAATACGGAAGAATGAACCACAGGCAGATTTTAGTAAAAAGCGATCACACAAAAAAGAGACGACCGTTCTACATGAAGGCAAAGACAAAAATCCCATGATCAATCTTCTAAAGGAAGATAATATGACCATCTCATGTGACGTGAGATTATCCAAAGAATGTGAATGATGAAATACCTAGAATATTATTTCATATTGTAATGTGCATTTTCTCCTTTATGCCTTCAGATAATAAGATTTTGTTCTAGTCTGTTATCTGGCTCTCTAGCGAAAATTCAGATGACTTAGAGCAAGTATCTCACTTGGTTAAGTCGATACAGGATCATAACATTAATCATTGTTATAAGTATTTTATTTATTTAATTTCATTTAATTCATCTTCAGATGAACTATTAGGTCAGTTTTTCTTTTTTCATAAAACCTTGTATTTATCTGTTGCTCATGTTGATATCCGAAGATGATCATTATTGGCATATATGCACCCGGAAAGGTGTAACTCGATATTGCTAACCAGTCATAAGTTTCTATTAAAGCTAGATCGGTTGTAGTGTTGGTTGTGTTCAAAATTTAAATTAAGGTTTCATACATAAACGTTCTAGGTAATCTAAAGTTCATCCTAAAATGAAATGCGAGTGAAATTCTTTGACCATCTCCTCGAAAATTGAACTATGAAAAAACTACATGAAAACAAGATAATCATTAAAAAAGTTACACTTTTAAAAACGTATCAATACATATTCTAAAACAGAAAACGTTTGTGTCAAAGACAATATACTTGGAGAAAAGCTTATTTTTCACATCTTGAATTTAAAAGGGACGAAGTTATTAATCTGAATAACCATAAGACTATAGATTAGTTATCTAGAGCCAAGGTTTGTTAACTGCTCCTTTACACACACTTAAGAATTTGAGTCCTCTTTCTTCAATACCTCCGACTGTACAGATCAATTTACATTCATATACAGAAGTAGAACTGAGAGACAGGTACATGTTCACATCTCTGACAATATCTCAAAGAACTTGAGACTAAAATATATCAGATCTAAACAGCGTAATACTATAAATATTTATTCAGTATAGAACTTCTGTAAATATAATTAATTTCTATGACTTTAACAATCAATATAGTTGTAGAGTAGCTGGATATTCGGACCCGATTGATAGAACCATAATATTTTCACTTCCTAAAGATTCACTTTTCATCTTTAAAAAAAGTTCATAGGAAAATTTAAAATTGATATATCCTATTTATCATTTAAAAATCAATAATAATAAGACAGATAACTAGAAAGTATCTTCTCCCTGAAGGTTCCTTCAGGGTTTCATTATATATACATGTAGCTACTTGCTATCCAAAGACAGTAAAGTGTACATACTGATTTGAAGGTAAATTTTATTATTGGTTACAAATGGGAAGCCATTAAGAACTGAGTAATTCGTGATATTAAATTGGTTGTGATGTAAAGTTTATTGCAAGTATTCATATTCTATTTCATATGAATTTCGCACATCACAAATAGGACTATTATATTATCACAAATGGGGTCGAAACTAATGTTTTCTAATTTCATGGAAATTCTCCTTATCTTCCTCTTCTAGTAATAAACGACTGAATATTGTATACCCAAATATTCGTAATGAAATGTTTGCTGTGTTCAGTAAGGAATCTTACTAAAACCAGCTAAATAGGGAGAAAAGTGACTGTTCATCTATGATTTATATCGACAGTTGAAAAATGACTGAAGTTAGTAAATGTAAAAAATTATTCTGAAATAAATTGTTTTCATAGTGTAGCGCGCATTCCTATATGCGAAAATTATTTTACCGTACTTGTACGAACTTAGATATTCTTTTCTGAGTATACTATGATGACAACAAATTATTTTTTGATACTTTATTGGTTTTTTATCTAAGTGATAACAATCTGAGATGATAATTACCTTGAAAAGAAACGCTTATAATTAAAAATCTTATGTTTAACTAACTGTCATGAATTCACTTGGTGTCGTTTTACTTATATCTTCCCATTATTAATTAAGACTGAATGTGTCCATTCTGTACGAATTGCCTAGATATTGCCTTAATTCACAAGCTTTTTAAACAAAGGTGGATAGTGGTTATCAGTGTTATCCAGGATGTGGGGTTTCACCCTGTTCGGGACTCGTCAGCTGGATGTACCTGCATCTCAGAGTTGATGTTCACTCTGGGACTCGAACTCAGTACAATTTGCTTCAAACGCCATAGAGTTATCCACTTAGCTCTGATATGCAGGTACATCCAACTGACGAGTCCCAAATAGGACGAAACGCACGTGTTGGATTCCATTGCTAGCCACTATCCATCTTTACTTAAAATAACTGTCATACAGTTTTCCTAATCAAATGCTGTTTTAAATGTTGATTATCAATATTATTAGGAACTTTTATTGAGTTGATACTTTGGTTTTTCCAAATAATTTAGTATAGCACTGATTTTATAATTGACTATGAATAAATGAATAAGCTTAGTAACGAATAGAAAACAATCATTTATTCATACACTACAATCAGTTCTATTCTTTTAATTATAATCCATAACTGAGTCGTTCATTAACATATTTTTAATTTTGCACGAAATTATTGGATGTTTTTGCTTATAAAAACTTCATTAGAAAACAGTTACCTTCACTGTTTTGTACAAATAAATATGTTATGATGTCAAAGGTGAATTCTTTGTTTTTTACATTAAATTCATTTAAATTTACAGAAATACATAATTACCACTGAATTACGAATGAAGCCAATATATACAGGAAAAATATATTTCCATTTTTAAGTAGTATATTCAATTTACTCATATTCAATTATCATAATTGCTTTAGAAAGTGTTTTAATGCTTTAGAGTTACATAACTTATGGACTATTCATCATTTACTACGAAAACATTTGATTTGTATTATAATACAAAGAATATATTATATCAACAGCAAGTCCAAATGAAAATTTATTAAATTCAGTATTATGAGTATCAATAAGCGAGCTACGTCAGACATTTATTAGAAACAGGGAGACACTGAATAAATGTTTCATCTATGACCATACAAGGGATCATATCTACAATTTTCGTTTACAGTGATAGTACTTAACTTTGAGACCATTGAATTTGGACCCTATGTTGAATGGTGGATATACACTGCTAAAGGGTCCTATATTAGAAAGAAACAACTATTCAGTGAATCCTGGTTTCCAACAAATATCTAACTATAGTCTATTGATGATTTTAATAAAATTCAATGATCTTCACAAATCTCTTTTTTACTGAAAATCAAATATTATTTGTGAAAGATGTTTTACTTAAAAATCTCAAAAAACTTTCAATGGTTAAGACCAACATAAGAAACCTGGAAGCACTGGACGGCCGTTTCGTCCTAGTATGAGACTCCTCAGCGGTGCACATCCATGACCTTGCCTCCTGCGAGGCTCGAACTCAGGACCTACTGGTTTCACACGCGAGCACTTAACCACTAGACCACTGACCTTACATCCAACAGTGTCAATGTCTAACTTGAATTAATCCACGAAATTGATCGACACATCCACCATTGTCATCAATGAGTTACTATCTCACAACAGACCCGGTTGAACTCCACTGGTCACTGCCTCTCACTAGAACTCCAGGATGTATCTCTTGAAGCCAGTCATTAGTGAGCATATGTTGATTATTATCAGATGGGTTTTATGGATATTATATTAATTTCAATGGGTAAGACCATGAGTCAGTATAGTAATAATGACAAATAATTCTAGGTGAATTTCATAGATTTGTCTATAGATAAGTAATTTTAAAATGACATGAACTGACAAATTTTCAAACTATCATTGATCTACTCATAATCATTATTAACTTTATACTCTTTTGAAGAGTTATGGAAAGAAGCAAAGAAAATCATTTATTATTAATATTACTACAGAATACTCAATACATACTTTTTTTAGGTCATTTGTCTTCTTAAATATGTATGTATATTTGACAATTTTATTTAATTAAAATATAATGAAATCATTAGTTGCATTAAATATTTCATAATAAATTTATTACTAAATAGAATACAATAGCAATTAGTTACTAAAGAATTGATAAATTAATAAAATGTAATCAGAATTAATCTATCATAACGTTTCATTAATTTATATTGATAAAATATTAACAATTATATAACAGACTGTTTATTGAGTTGAATTATAAAAGTTTCACTATGGTTAACTTGTTTTGTAGTAATGGTAATAATAATAATACTGATAATAATGCAATAAAGTATCCTTTCTCTGAGCAACAAAATAATTTGTAATCAATAAATGTAAACTTATTAAAATAAGGTGAATATTTTGAAATGAATTCATTGTATCATTAGTAATGATAGAATTTGTCAAGAATAAAAACTGACTCAAGTTAATTAATTATCCTTTCAGATTCATTTGGTCGTTGTGATAAATTATATTTCTATCGTTATTTAAGGTAAATATTATTATTCTTTTTACTTAACTTGTTTTATTATACAATATAGTAATAACTGATAGTGTATAGTTAATCATGTTATGGTTCCATATTACATCAGATATATATATATATATATATATATATATATATATATACCGTAATTCACTGTCGTAAATTTTCATCAATTATCAATGAGATTTTATCTGATAATTGCGTTATGTTTACCAATTGTATAGTTTAGTCTTATAGTTGTAAATATTGATTATAAGCAAAGGTAAATTCAATGATCTCCAACATAATAACAAGTAATTCATAATCACTAGTAATTAATGATTTTGTATATCTTCTAAGAAGATCAAAACAAGCTGTATATTGTTATCATTTCACTGTATACAATTCATTATTTATAATTCTGATACATATTGGTAATTTTAAATCAAGTATTCTACGGTAATAGAAAAGAGTAGGATATTTGATGAAGTGAAATAATAATTTTATCTTTTGATAGGATTAGTGGTATTTCCAGGCATGATAATATTCTTATTAAGAAATGTCATGTAATCTTCATCATTCGATGTTATTAAATTATTCAGTAAAGATATAGCTTAACGACAGCCATGAGTCAATCAATCAGAATTAAGATAACTCCTTATGTACTCTGAGTGAAATTTAAACTTGTTTGTTATTATTAATCAGAGGAATATTGAGAATAATTCATCTTTAAAATGCTCAGAACCCGTTAAAATATCTATGATGCAGCTGGAGTGTGAGTTTAACATGGTGCATAAGCTAAATGACAAAACATACCTGTTACTAAAAGAAATTGTGTGTTAAAGTGTTCAATAAAGTTCATTAGGAAGTCATTGGTGCTTAATGAAGTCAGATAATATTTTTCCTTTCTAACTCTTCCTCGAAATCTCAATCCTAGGTTTCTTAAATTTGTGAACAGAACGGTAGCAAAATCTTGCTTTATAACTGATGTCAGTTAGTGATGAAAACCCTAACCCTTATTTGTAAATCTAACCTCACTTTAAATGCGCAACCCTAATCTTTTTTCTCAAATTATAACCGATGTCATGTAGTGATGATAACCCTATGGAGTAATAACCGTAACTTTGAATACTATCTCAACACTTATTATGTAAACGTGACCTTTTTCCTTTAGTACAAAAAATAATTTAGCATGTGAAATTTAATAATTCAGACCAAAGCTATTATTCCTTTACTGTTTAATTACTTTTCAATGTCAACTGTTATGTAACTATACAGTGTTTTCTGATTGACCGATAGGCTGTTCAAGGTGTTCAATATATTATCCTTTCACCAATTATTCCTTAAAAAGACACTGGAGACAGTATAACGTCTTGCTGTAAAGCAAATTAAGAAAATAATCATTTTATTACTACTGTTATTTATTAATTACATGCTAAAAGGGACATTTACACAGAGTAAGGTTTATATCTTGACTGATATCCTTTTATTTATTATGCTCTAATTTTACCCATTACATTTACAATTTACTATTGATGTTTATAATACCTAACTACCTAATTTATTCTACATGGAGACAGAAATACTACAAATCCTCATGGTTTTTACATTCTCAGACGATTAATAAGAAACTTTCTGTAACAGTTATAAAAAAATTTGTACTCATCATAAATCGTTCATTATAGAATAACAAAATAATAGAGAATTACGTAGCTTACCTTAAATTCAATTATGATAAAACGAACTTTCTCTTTATCTTTTGTCTTTATGTAAAGAGTTTATATTATAAATACACTGTATGATATCAATACTTAAATTGTATTGGTCAACAACTATATACCCAATTATTTGTTGTTGTTGTTTTCTCTTTAGAAAAAATATGCTGACTTCAAACACAATTCAATTCAGTAATTTTGTTCAAGATTTTTTAAATTAAATGAGTAGGCGTTATCTACACAGTTTTATTGTTAATTAAGTAATATATAGTTAAAAGAGTTCTTTCCAATTACATCTTAAATTAATTTACATTTTAAATGATTAACTACGTATTAATTAACTGACTAACATTTTAAGAATAATAAGTTTAATAGTTGAGATCATGAGTCAGTTGAAGCTAGACCACCATGGAAAACCTGGAAGTAATAGACGACCGTTTTGTCTCATTGTTGGACTCCTCAGCAGTGCGTGTACACAATCTTGCCTCGCGAAATTCGAACCCCTTCTAATATTATTCAACATATGCTCACTAATGACTGGCTTCAAGAGATACATCCTGGAGTTCTAGTGAGAGGCAGTGACCAGTGGAGTTCAACCGGGTCTGTTGTGAGATAGTAACTCATTGATGACAATGGTGGATGTGTCGATCAATTTCGTGGATTAATTCAAGTTAGACATTGACACTGTTGGATGTAAGGTCAGTGGTCTAGTGGTTAAGTGCTCGCGTGTGAAACCAGTAGGTCCTGAGTTCGAGCCTCGCAGGAGGCAAGGTCATGGATGTGCACCGCTGAGGAGTCTCATACTAGGACGAAACGGCCGTCCAGTGCTTCCAGGTTTTTTATGGTGGTCTCTCTTCAACTGACTCATGATCTCAACTATTGAAATTACTGTAATATCCACAAAAGGGAATTTGATAATAATAAATTTGTAAGTCATTTTATTTGTATGTTAAACAAAAATAGTGTTCTAGTCATTAACCAATTATTGAGAATGAATGGTAAAATCATCTGATTATTCATTTTTGATTGCTATCCTGAAGAAGTCTTGTCGTGTTTTTTGGACGAAACGTTAAAATTACTTAAAAATTCAATCGCTGAGATTATTTCAAATATAATTTACATATATAATGCGTTGTCTTTTTATTTATCGGATATATGATAAAACTTTGAGCGATAATCTTATCATAATTCTTAAATGACTAGAAGTGAAGTTTTGGATGCGAATTTCGTCTTGTTTGAGACTTATCAGTTGGATGTACTTAGATTCTAATGTTGATGGTCGTACTGAGGCTCAAACTCAATACCTTTCATTTTTCTATATTTGAAGAGTTCACCTAATCTGAGAACGGAAACGAAGACTCTGTGACGTAATGACAGGAAAGCTAGCTATTCCAACGTGTCCCAGCCCAGATAAGTGGATAGAGAAGTCCAAGTTCGGAAGAGGAAAATAGGCGAGACTATAATTTTTGGACGACCTTTGAACGAATCATGAGTGACCTTGTGAAATATTAGCCAATCATCAAACAGTCAGTATAGAGTAAAAAATTTTTATACAAAATCAAAGAAATAAAGTGGATACACTTCTTATACATGGTTCAAAAACTTGTCAAGGTTAGAAAGAGGTTCAGAGGTTCTAAAATCGTAATGCGTGTGGTAGAGGAAAGCATTCATATGGCTACAGAATGGTCGGTCTCTGGAGTCATGATTATGTTGCAAAAACACTTTCAGCCTCGGCCACATAGCTTCAATATTGTTTGTGTGCACTCCGTTCGATGAGTACACAAAATGCCACTTGCGAATAACGACACGATGCACATAACCAAGCATATGTAGGAGTCTGTACGCTCTCCAAACATCCGTATATATTGTAGTACATGGCTGCAGCAAGTGTTACTGGTGCTTCTATTATGCAGTTCGCAATAATTGTCATAATTTGCCTTAGTTAGGAATTATATGTGGGGTTTTCATCACGAACTGACATCAGCTATAATACCAGAAATCTATTTAGCCAAATGGATGAAAGACTTTCGAGCTAAAATCTGAGATCTGTTATTTTGTACTTGATTGGTTCGTCCACAGATTAAAGTCTCGCCGTTTTATTTATTAAAGCCGCTCAATTATCACGTTTTGTATTAAATCCCTTGCGAACCGATCGAACGTTAGCATTAAGTACTGAAGTTGGTGCTGTGACCTTGAAGTCCCTCAAACGCTTCAGATTGGCCCATCGATAAATTATAGTCTCGCATAAATGTCTTTAGGAAACGGTACAAAATGGCATATTAAAAGAGATAACGAACCAATGGTATTTAAGTTCCTCCCAAGTGGGAAATACGACATGAAGGCAAAAAATGAGTGCTTTTGGCTCGAAAACAAGAAATTTAATTTTTTCAAAATAGCATTGCAAATATAAGGTATTTACCAAGTGAATTCTGGGGATCTAACATCACCAACACATTTTAAACAACAAGTAGTTATTCACTGATCTATTGAGTTAATATAGCTATTAGCTTCTTTTATAGGTATGAAAGTATTAGAAAAACATTAAAAACTCCCCTTACTTAAAAGAATATCAAACACACTAAAAACTTTTGACTAAAGGCTATATCGAATCAGTCAGCTGATCAACTGGTCAATCTTAGGCGACAGTATTTCTAACAAAACTTTATGGTACATTAAATAATGAGATTTGTTTTAAGAATTATAATATTTGTCATTTCGTACTTAATCTAATATCACACTGTTGTGAACTGAACATCCAATATATTGTTTAGACATATTATGTGTATCGTTTATAATGTTGGATATAGTGGCAGTTTATTCCTAGGAGATAAGTCTCATGAGTTCTGCATTCAGTCACTACTTACCAATTCTGTTTTCACTCGCACTCTATCTTACATATATTACTTAGCAATTGTTTTACCGTTATAATTGACTTCGTATAATTTATTAGATGTTCTGATTATTTGAACTTATTCCCTTTATTTTAGTCGGACACTAATATAGTCTTCTTTTATAAGTTGATATAAATTGACAATTTGAAAGTTATTCTTCTTGCTATAAAAAGCAGGATACTGGAAGCAAATGTGGAAAACTTGCCGTTTATCGTATGAATTGCCGGTTATTACGGTCCATTTTTAATCTCATATTACGCTTTAGCGATTGTCTCATATTCTATGTGCGAAATCCCCAGCGAAAAGTTATTAAAAGTTATTGAAACAATAGTATTCATTTTCATGTACGAGAACTCTTCTATTTACTTATAAACATTGCATTCAATAATTTATTTACAGCTTAGCAGTTTTCTATGTCAAATGATTTAGGGATAATTTTATTCGAACGTTAAATAGTCTCATTAAACTAGTTAATCCAAGTAATTTGGAAGAACTAATAATGTGAATTAAAATGTGAATACCAAACGATTAAGATGGTCAGATAGAATTACTAATTAGCCGATAGTTCATAATACATATGTAAAGAAATATTCGACCTATGATGGGCACACTGAATGACTATTTAAATTGTTGTACATGTTGTATGTTTAATAACTAATTATTCATATTTGTAATATATTTTAAAAATATACAATTCTCCCGATTTTAATATTAAACTTCACAATTGATTGATCACTACTGGGTGGTGATCAGTGTCATGTATGTCGAGTCCTCCTTAGTACAGATCGAATGCTATCGACCAAGTTGTAATGTGGCCACTAGTCTAGGTGACTCGACATTGCATGACAACGTCTCTGACGGTGAATCTGGGTCACACGGGATCAAATCTGTCGGGGAGCACCAGTTCCCTCAAGATTACAGGTATACCTTGCTAACGAGTGCCAAGTAGCACGCAAACCGGGTCGAGGGTTTCCTGTTGACTACCTCCAACCGTCATCTTATCTTAATATTAAACTTCTTCAGTACTCGTGATTGTGTACTATTTAAGTGAGCTTAATTTATAGCTAATTCCCACTACAATCCAGTTACCACAAATGGAGATAATTATCAAAACAGGAGAACCTTTCTCAGTTATGTATTAGGCTTCGTGTAATCTACCAAAAAGTGGAAAATTACACTTATATGTATCAGAAGAAATTGTTGTTAACTCTATGAAACGAAAATTATATATATAAATGAAATACTTTCAACCGAGTTAATCACTCTAGGCTACAAAGAGGTCATTATTAATCAATCTGATCTTGCCAATATACATTATAAACATTACCTTATCCCTTTCATTTATATCCTTATTAAGCGTCAACTATAACATTGGAGAGACTATAATTTGTGAACGAACCAATCCGATTTAGGATAAGTCTTGAATTTTGGTATAAAATTCATTCATCCATATGGCTAGATAGCATTTTGGAATTATAACTGATATCGATTTGGAATGAAAACCTCAATCCTAATTCTGAACCCTAATGTCCAACTGTAAATTAAAATCTTGATTCTTTACTCTAATTTTTAATGTTCATTTATTCTTAGTAAATATGTGAACCTTCTCAAAGTTACTAATCCATCATTCAAGGGTTATCGATAAATTATACTCTTGCCAATATTGTAATCATCATAATTAGTATTACAGAATATTTCTTTTAATTTGTATACAAATTTGTACACAATTTCAATTTATTAATTAAAATGTATCACCTTGACATACATAAAAAAATATCATTTCTTCTAGCTCAACTAATAATGCATTTGTTGGTACTTACAACTATATAGACGTGAAATTCATTGTTTTCAGTTTCTAACATACTAATTGAACTGAAACTTTTATAAGCATATTTTAAGATTTCATCAAATTCGATATAAGATTTATATATAAATACTACAGAATATAAAAACAAAGTTATCTAAAACATTCATTTATTCAAATATTCTTCTTTTTTTGTGTATTAACGTTTTATTTAGTTTATTTAAATATGAATGACTTTGATTTAACCTTATTCTTTCTCCAGATATTATTCAATAAACTCTTAAATATTACTTTTAGTAATATTTTAGGTACTAAAGTGTATTAAATTGATTTGATTATTCATAATTCCAGTAAGATAGTTAATATTTAGATACTAGCTACTTTATAACGTCATCTACGTGAGAACATTGCTGTAATTCTTAATAAATACTGATGATGTAATGGATGGTGGTTAGAGGTAGTCAAAAGGAAACCCTGGACCTGGGTTTCGTGCTACTTGGCACTCGTCAGCAAGGTGCACCTGTAATCTTGAGGGAACTGGTGCTCCCTGATGGATTCGGGTCTCGATCACCCAGTGATCAATCAATTGTGATTATATCTCAGTCTTACAGGAGATCGGTCATTATAGATCAGCACTTTAAAAATCTTTATAGAATATTCAAAAATGAAGAATATTTGAGTAAACAATAGTTTTCAATAACTACATCATCAGGTTCTACAGTTATAAAGTCCATAATTATTCTATTACTTTCATAATGATCAAAAAGACACGGATAGCTCAGTGGTAACGTCTCTGACTGTGAAGCTGGGTGATACGGGGTCGAATCTGTAAGGGAGCAGCATTTTCCTCAAGATTACAGGTACACCTTGCTGATGAGTGCCAAGTATCACGAAACCCAGGTCCAGGGTTTTCTGTTGACTACCTCCAACCACCATCTTGTCTCAACATAGTGCACGCAGTGTCGAGTCACCTAGACTAGTGGCCACATTGCAACTTGGTCGATAGCATTCGATCTGCACTAATAAGGACTTGACATTTAATCTTATGCTAATCGAACAGGTAATTTGGAAGCTCAGTACGATGTATTTTGTGCTGTTTGGGCTATTGAATGAATTTATAAACAATTAGTTTGAATAAAATTCACTATAATTATAGATCATAAGGCTGTAAATTTTATTTGTCACCTTGAAGATTTTGAAGTACGTTCATCAAATGTTATGGCTCAATAACGGAGTACTGTCCTCAGTACTCATGAAATTCGATACAGAAGTGATAAGAAATTTTAGCATAAGGGTTATATATCTCAATATGCGTTACAAGATAAACTTGTATATATTCCAAATTATTCATTAGTAAACTCATTACCATTAAACTATTCAAAGCTGATTGAAGGAACTCATAGATACCTTGAATGTATTTTGTCTACTAAGCAAAGCTTAGAACTCTCATCTAAAACTCAAATTCTATGTGTATTTTGCTAAATATGACAAATTATCCATCTATTCTGATAGTAATGTGTTTAAGCCACAGTGTCATTATCATGCCCTTATTATGTAATTTAAGATTCGACAATCTTCATTGTGGACATATGAGTATTGATAAATAATCTTCAATAGGGTTTACATGTTGGCGCCCAAAAGTTGGTGAAAATATGAATCGTACACCAAATAACTGTACAACATCATAAGTAGAAAAGTTATCCACTAAGGCTGAATTTTTAGTCATTTCAATCCATGGCTTTATAGAGAATTTATACAGTTTACTGCGATCCGTTTCTTCCAATCTGACAGGCTAACAACACGAAACAGGGGGAAATTTAATTACGTAGCGACCTACAGAGAACAAGCAATCATACTTTGAAAAATAATGTGAAATATTCAAATGTAGATATAACGGGATGTCTACGTACTAAAAGTACACGTAATACGTTTCGATCAATGTTTATAGAAAAAATGTTGTTTTACAAAGATTATAATCATACGTTCATTAACAATACCAATGATGGTACTTTGTGTATATGATTAAGTAATTATAGAATATGCTTTAATTATCTACTTATTCGGTTACATTCAGAAGTATTGTCACATATTTTTATAATTCTGTTTAAACTTTGTATCGTCAAAAATTAAAAAGGATAAAAGGATAATCAAGCTCGTACAAGGCATTCACATACATAGTTATTTACATTGACCTCTTCACACCACCTCGATTTGTCTTTTTATACTGCTTATTGATTGGATCAACTGAATTTAAAATAATTTCACGCGCTTGTTCGTTTACTATATTCTTTATTTGCGGTGTCACAAATAATGGCCATACATCAGTCTAAGAATATCAGAAATAAAAAATATTCAGTATATAAGACGATCAATCTCTTTTCGTATTGAAACTCTATAAGCATAACTTTAAATTATTATAAGAAATCAAATTTAGTCAATAAATGCATTTGATCCATGAGACTGTGAACTGATTTTGTATTAGATTGATTGGTTAGCTAAGCGAGTACTATCAGATCAAATATTGTTACAACTTCAGAGAGATCATATACTGTCTTATGGCCGCACGATACGTAAAAGCTCCAAGTGTAAGTAAGCTTTGTTAGTGAGTGCACGTTATTCACCTAGCCAAGATCACGGAGCATAAGTCCCAGTTTGGATCAGTCCAGTATCCATCAATTGCAAACACTGTGACTTTCATTTAAAGCTATCTGACCATTTTTACTCTGAATATCTGTTAGGCCAAGCTTTAGGAAGTATATACTGTATTTGAATAGGACAGAAGATTAAAATAGACATACTATTACTTTTTCCAAAATAAGTTCCGTCTATGGAGAAGTTTTCATTCAGTAGAAATGTGATTTGTTCATTTATACTTTATGTGTCTAATTAGTCATAAATTTGCTTTCCCTAATAAACTGTTAAGCATAATGACTTAGATTTAAATTAATAACAACCATGACTTCCTCATTAGGATTTTTTTTCATTTTAAGCTAAATCGCATCTTACAATCATAACTTAACATCATAAAGATTTTTCTGTTAACTCTAGTTTAGTTACTCATATGTTTGAATCATAGGTGATAAGAAAAGTTAAGATCAATTTAATTATACACTGATTGCCCAAATTTTTAGTTGAAAGAAATGCACTACTTTAAGTAGAGTAGTTATCAAAAGAGAATGTATATATCTAATTTATTACGCTTGCTGGCAGTCTGTTGATGATTATCACGCTTAAGAATTTTTTCTACTCCAGATATGTAAAGATTTTCAATTAAAATAATGAACTTTGATAAAATTTGATGGATACGAAGCTCAACATGAGCTTTCTGTTTTGTTATGGCCGAACTCAAAGCATTAAAATGCAACTATCCCAAGGAATAGCAAGGAGAAGAAGAACATTTTTTAATTATGTCTGATGAAGATTTTTACGTTTGAGTTTTGAAGGTGGGGGGGCTGTAATCTACTGATAATACTGCGTGTTTATCTCTCAATACCACTTGCTGTATGTATTCAAGAAGTAAGGACCTGTGGGTTTCGACTCAGTGACTAAGTGATATCAAATTTGACGTGTAGAATAACTACATCGATTTCATCTCCGCACCCAGCTACGGGACAAATGTTTGCAGTTTTAAGTCAAAGTGACAATGGTGAAACGATCATTGAAAGCCAGAAGGCCCTGTACAACTTCTTTGTTCTAGTACGAGACTGCTCACCAGTGTTTAGTTTCGACTACGCTAGCAGATAAATCCAGGAACTTCTGACGATGCAATCAGCCATTAACCTTTATATATTCTTTGACATTTCCATAAGGATAAAATGAATTACCTTTTTTTTCCACAGATGTAATGATTTTTAGCTGCTCTTCTTTATCAGTGTCATATATTACACGTCACTTCATGATAGTGACTCAATTTAGCTCCATGAGAAATAAGACTGTCAACTATGATATCGACTGATATATTGTCTTTTTTAGGTCACTAGAACTCTCCTTTTAGACAACTTTGTCACATTTTACGAATCCTTTACCCGAAAATTTGATTTTCCCAAGTTCCGAGCTAAACTATTCATATAAATATTAATATAGTTGTAGTTATGTTTATTCTTTCTAAAAAGAAGTCAAATTTTAATCAAACAGTGTTGGAAGTTAAAGTAAAAGTACTTACTGTGTTTTGATATAAGCTGCATTTATTGGTTGGTTTATGCTTAGACTTTAGTGATCGCTTTATTAGTTTGAATTTACAATCTGTATGAAGCTTCGGACTAGCGATAATTATTAATAGTTGTTCATTCATTCTAATATTTTCACGATCCAGTGGAATATATTTGAGAGAGGCTTTCATATTATGAATTAAATGTTCTGAACAATAGCTTACACTTTCAAACCATCTGTTATAATTTATGTTGACAGGTAAATCAACTACCTGAGAAAAATAGAAACAGTAATATTTATTTATGTTGATAGAGAATGTTGTAGATATATGACGTTAACTAGATTAGTTTCATTTTTATATTCAAATAAACTTATTACTTGCTTTAAATAAGTAGTCTAATCTCTGTAAGTGTATACTAGAATGATAGCAATACTTTAGAAAAAACTGGACTAACGAAGGCAAAGTAGCCGCTAATAATCGCACAATGAATATATTATTTTCTAATAAGAAGTTCTAGTAAACACTTTGAAGACTTCTTCGTTTTTGGCATATTTATTATTATTTCTTCAATAGAACTATTTTTTTGTGAATCAAGCTCTGTCATGTTATTTTTTCCTAATTCATCAACTTAATTATGAAATTTTATGATATTTCAAAGTGATTAGGCTGAAACCATTTTAAAGGTTGATTAAAAAACATAATTGAATAACGGAAAGCTTAAAACCACTTGATTATTGACGTAAAAATTGGTCAACTTGATCTAAGTTCTAAGGTATATTTAAAAGATTTTGTTTAGATTAAGTCAAACAAAATTAACTCTGCTTACGTCCCACTGAATATTGAAACCAGCATCTAATAAATCTCTAAACAAAGAGTTCACTTCGATAGCAGATTGTTCACATTGTTCGTCATTGAATTTACCAATCCAATTTTGAAGTTTCTTGATTATCAGTAATTTTCCTTCCGCTTTTTCAAGATGCTTTAAAGCTTGTTCGAAGAATTCTTTCTTCAAACCATCACATTCATATATAATGATCTTATCATATACATTTAACTTCAATATTTTCAGGTCATTTGAATGATGACATTGATATTTATTGTTTGCTAAATACTTTGATATATTCTGTTTACTAGAATCTAATGAAATTCTTTCAATGAAACATACAGAATCTGTTTCATTTAACTCGCCATAAAAGTGAATAATCTCAACAATTTCCCTAGCATATGCTTGCCAAGATCCCATTATTAGTATTTTTCATAAGTACAATCAATTCCTTTTCTAATCCAAAGTGGAATAAGAATTCATTTAGAGAATATTGTTTATCATCAGCTTTTTAAATGCACCTTTATTGATTGATTAATAGTTTATCTTCGTAAAGCCAATGAGAATCACTTCATATGATAGTTTTAATCACGTTATTTTAGTACACCTATTGTAATGGGATCTGTTTGTTTTCTTGAAAGAAAAAATCATCTAATGAACCGAAAAGTTCAATTTTTTAGCACAAATATCTAATATTACTAAATGTTAGAATATGTAAGCCAGGAAACTATTCTTTACGGATTCCCAACGTTTAGAGACGAGAAACAAAGTACGGGCGAGACTATAATTTATGGAAGAACCTGTCAGATATATGATAACGAGTCACAAATTTTGGCGCGAAATTCATCCACACACTTGGCCAAATAGAATTTTGGCATTATAGCTTATGTCAGTTAGTGATGGAAACCCTAAATCTAATTTTCGACCCTAACCATCAACTGTAAATGAGAATTCTAACTGCTTTACAACCCTCATTTAGTCCTAATCAGTATATGTCAACTCTGAAGGTCACTTCAGCGTCGCTCAATGGTCGTAAAGAAATTACAGTCTCACCAAGTAGGAATAAACCTAGATTCAGGAAAGATTTGAGACCAGTCGTTCTCAATAAACCACTGTATTTCAGCTATGGTCATCATCAATAGGCAGGAGAACCGGTCTTCAAATCAAGGCTGTTTCAAATGGTCTAATTATTACTGTGAGGTGTGACAATCAATTTAAGGATAGTGCTAAGCGTCATTTAAAAATAAAGCAAAACAATTCAGAGTATGTTGAAACTAATGGAGTAGTGATTAGATAATTTGAATATCATGCTTTCGTAAACGCTATATTTGTATTACACTTGTTATTTTCATACTCCATGATCGATGATAAACAAATCAAATCAAAACTAGAACATAAGTGCTCCTAAATATGTACTTTTTAGCTGTTTGCGTATAGACAGAACTTACGCTGTGTACTAGAAGAGCATAGAGAGTACAGACAATGCGAAGGGCTGGGAAAAAGAACAGTGAATCAATGATCCAGCTTCAGTGATAATTAAAATAGATTGACTCCGTAACTGGTTTCTACTACTGTTAGCATTTGTTACAATAATTCTCATGATTTGTGTAATTACCATCATTGACTGTAAAATCGTTGTTTAAAGAAATATAACCTTTGATCTTCCGTTCCTCCATTTCGAATCTCCCATAGTATGGCTCATTGATCATCGCTTACAAATACACTGCCGCACACATGTGCTTCTTGTTTTTAATTACTCACTGTTACGACACCAGAATTTTAATATAATAGCTATCAATGTTTACAGATCACAGCGATGTCTTCATTGCATGCTTTATCTGGATATACATCTTGGATTACGTTAATTATGGTTGGAATTACTTACTATTTGAAATTGTTGATCACAAGATCATAAGGAACTCGAATACGGACATTTTTGACAATTTATGTAACATCCCGTATATTTTTCTTGTGTATATAACTCATGTGGGATATATCAACACATTAATTTTCTTTCTTAATAACTTAGTCATTATTTTTTAGATTGATATTTTTGGTCTACTACACAGCTACCGCACACTACTCATGTATATTTATTAATGAAATCAATCAACAACAATCGGAAACAGCACAAGCCTCATATTAAAACAATCTTGGAAAAAAAATAGAAGCGGATAGTTTAAACCCCTACTATATAGGTGATTGAATTAATTAGCTTATACTATGGTTTAAAATAACCAAAGCATAAGTGAACTGAGTGAACTTAAATGAAATAAAAGTCGTATTGGGACAACACGAGATTCAGACCTCTTTGTGTTTGATTCGGATTTACGTCGACACTGCCGCTGTGAACCAGTAATTGTATTAGAATAGAAGCAACACTAGAAGTGGACTAACCAGCATTTGGACTGTAGTGACACAAACCCGTGTCAAATGAAGGACAGCATTTTTACCGTCGAAGAATATATAGAACTCAAAACAACTGTCAAGCAACATCAAAGTCGGAACATTCAATACGAACGTTAAGATAGTTCTACTGTTCGGAGCTGAAACTTGGAGAACTACTACAACTGTCATGGAAAAGGTACAAGCATTTGTAAAAAACTATATAGACAAGATGCTGAGTGTCCATTGGCGGGATACCATCATCAACAGCCTACTGTGAGAGAGATTAAGCCAACTTCCATTTGAAGAAGAAATTAAGAAAAGACGTTGGAGGTTAATAAGACATACATTACGGAAATCATTAGACTGTATCAAAAACTTGGAATCCTGAAGAGAACGGGGAAGGAGGAAGATAGAGGAATACATCGCGTTGGGAATATAAAGCAGACAATAAACGAATGAATACCAACTGGAAGGAACTGAAAACGGCTGGAAAAGACGGAGCTCGATGGAGAACACTGGTGGGGGTGTCCATACTCCTTGACAAGGCGTAACAGAAGTATGTAAGTGACATCAAATGACTCAAACGCGTCGGTCTCTAGTGCTTTGTGGCGGTAAATAAATCCTCACAATAAATAATCTTGTGTGTTTTTTGACGTTAATGCCTACCTCATTGAACATATCTCTATCCGAAGATACTCTGTCAATTATCCTCATCAGATCACAACTGGGTACGCTTTGTTATTCATTCCTCCCAACATTTAGTCAGCTTGCATAATCTATTCTTCAATACATCGACTATCTTCCAGATTTATCTCTCAACCCCTTCAGTGATGAATTCTAGTCTGACTAGATTCAGAATTTGTGATTTTAAGAATCTTACGAACAATGGAGTAGTTGAAAACTGAACATCCGCCACATCTTTAGATATATGCTTCTTCATACTGATAAATAAAAACGATAGGATGGCATGTAAATAAGGTTGGAATAGAAATATACATACTTATGTTTCCATACTATGATATTGATTAATATTATGTATAAATGAGTGTTATATGTCTTGAAGTGTGCTCAGATTGTAGCAAATCAATGTCATTACAGCATCGCACACAAAAACTTTGTACAACGAAATGCAATCTTCCAGGTTAGCGATCTACTATTACCTCCAGGTCACTTGAAACAGAAGTAATAGCAGTGTGAAATATCTCTTCCTCTCGTGTTTTTCATAAATACCGCAACTAATGAATTTCTTATTTCGTCGCGATTTAAGACCAGCTATTTGGCGACACTGTTTCATAAATAGTCTTGTAAATCTTCGACACTGATGTTGATTTCGCTAAGTTTACTGGACACATTTTAATTAAATGGCGCGCATTACAAACAAGGTCTGATGTTTTCGTCGTTTTTACTTTTCATTATGATATTTGTTAAGATCATTAGAAACGGGCAGTTACTTTACATAACAGAACATTATAAATTATGATCGGAACAACTGGTAAAATCATTTCTACTGAAGATTACTGAGCTCAATGTTGGGATGACCGTATCATCGGAGAGATGACTGATTGAAAAGTTACGGCAAGATTATAATTTATTGACAAACCAACGAAAATGAAGATGGCAACTCTTGGATTCTGGCACGAAATTCATTTATTCAAATGGTTAAATAGCATTTTGGCAATAAATCACACGAATTTATGAGCTGCTTCTGGCTTTAATAGATAGATAAACTTTTTCAAAATCACTTGAGAGACGCTTGAAAGTCATCCATAAATAATTCTCTAACCTTATATCACTTCCAATCACCCAATTAACATCCACTTTTAGATATGAAACGCAACTTCACCGTTGATCTAATACTCAACGTGTTGACAAAACTGTACGGTGTCTTAAATAAAATGATTGTGTTTTTATTGTCTGTAATCCACGTGAAGCTTCATTATTGCCAAAAGTTTTCATATCGTGCAATAACTGCTCAACAATTGACATAGTGTATTATATGAGTAAGTTGCGTCTTTAGTGAGAAGCATAGCACTCAGATTAACGAATTGCAAACGGGATGAAACCCGAAAATGCATTATTTATTCGGAATTTATATTCTTCGGTACGAAACTTGGCAATAAAGACACACTTGAACCTAAGTTAATAACCAGAGTTTCGTAATAGCTCTCATTGTCGAACATGCAACTGTGGCCAGGTTTTGACATTTATGAACATAAATATGCAGTGTGCATTTTATTGAAGAAGCTACAATGCATTTTTGTATTGCATCGTACTCAGGACAAAAGTGAGATCGTGTAGCGGTAAATAAATCCCCAAAATAAATAGCTCTGTAAGATTTCGACATTGGATGCCGACCACAGTTTTAGTGGACTCATCTACCTGAAGGCGCTCGGTCAAGCATCCACACCAGATCACGTGTTGGAACGCCGGGCTCAACTCAAATGGATATTCTTATCTTTTAACATGCGTAGACCGTTTTACTCGATGGCCAGAAGCAGTACCCATCAAAGACATTACTGCTACAACAGCGGCCCGCGCCTTCGTCGAACGATGAGTAGCAAACTTCGACTGCCCAACAACCATCACTACAGATCGTGGACGTCAGTTTGAATCTGAACTTTTCCGTAATCTGACCGCAAAATTAGGAATCACTCGCTTCCAAACGACGGCCTACCACCCACAAGCAAACGGTTTAGTAGAACGTTTTCACTGACAACTAAAAGCGTCACTATCAGCCTCAAACATTTCTCAATGGACTGACGCTCTTCCACTCGTCTTACTAGACATACGCAATGCAGTGAAAGCTGACGTTTGATACACTGCGTCTGAACTCGTTTATGGTACGACCCTTCAACTTCCAGGAGAATTCGTGGATCCTTCACCTTGTTCGATGAACATGGATCTAACCTCCTACGCGAATAGGCTTACAAACGCATTGCGTTCAATTAAACCTGTTTCCACTCGACTACAATCAACTGATGTTTTCGTCCAGCCTGACTTACGATATAGTACACACGTCTTCATTCGTCGAG